GACATAAGATCTGCTTGTGCATATCCTGCAGTGACTTAACAGATGAGCCTAGCTTTCTGTACACAAGTAGTGCCGTTGAAGTTAATGGTAATACTTGTGCATAGAATTAAGCACATTTGTAAGTCATGAAGTGACTGTAGCATCACTTTTTATGGAACTATTTGTTTTTAGATTCAGATCCATGTAGTCATTATGAAGCCTTATTTTAAATGTATCTGAAGAAAGTCAAACTTCTAAGTGCAACCACTGCAAAAGTGTAGTGCCTTTAATAGATAAATCTTACATAATTAATCTTTGTATATCAGACTTAAAAGTTGTAATGAAAATATAGAAAACTTATTCCTGTTGCAAGAAATATGCATATTCAGAGCTACCTGAATTTTGCTATGTTCCGTTCAAAATAATCCAGTAACATTCATGAGTGTTTTTGTATTTTACTTACATTTTGTGCCTTATTATTCTGTTTCTTTCACAACAGTATTCAAAAACACTGATGCATTAAATATATATACAGTTTTATTTTTATTTTATATTTTTATGCAGAAAACGTATACCAGGTATTATAAGAGATAATATGCTTTAACTACTTCAGCTCTATAGAATGTATGAAGTTCGTTCGTTTTGTTTTTTCGAATTTGAGAACACCTGAATTTTAAAAAATACATTATTTTGCTTCTAGACTCAATTAATTTTTTTTAATAGTACATGAAATAATTCTCGCTCATCTCTGAATGTTACTTTTACACCAGTGAGTGTCTGTATAAACAGTCTATCCTGGAAGGTGCTGAGCACCTTCAACTTTTGTGTCAGTCTTGAAGAACTGGGTCCAAACTGATCAGAATTCCCTATAACATACTTCTAAGTCTTATGGTATTCATTTGTAATCATAAAGAATCTAGGGTTTTTTTCCCTTCCTCTATAAAGGTGCAGTAGTTTGGCAAACTTGTTTAACAAAATTAATAAACCTTTTTTTCCTTTACTATAGCAATCTAAACAGATTGTATAGGATTATACTCTACCAACTAAAGTCTCATTTCATATCTTCAAGAAAAAATATCCCTTAGTTGGTTTAAATGCTAAGCTTCCCAGTGTGATTAATAAAGGTTATAGAATATAACTTGTCTGACTTTTTCTTAAAGGAATGTTTGGTTGTGGAGGTGAGAGACCCCGTATATGTTCTCTTTGCCTTACTAGTGCTACACACCGAAACTGACTCCATAGTTAAGGCTGTATTTCCCTTACTGTACTTTTCCCTTAAAGCAGAACTACAGTCCCTCTATTTCCCACTTTAATAAATTAATTTAGCTTTTAAATTTCAGATACCGTTCAGTGGATAGTTGAATCGTCTAGGAAATGTTCCAAATAAAATACTTGCTAACTTTTCTTAGCCAAAATAATTTAAAATAGCCTAGTTTTGAAATTTACACCTGAATGTCACCCAACCCCCATCCAACACAGTCAGTCACCACACATTTTCACATTAGCACACAGGTCACGTTTGACATTTAACAATTATGCAGAATACATTTATCTTCCTTACAAATTATAATCAAAACTAGAAAAGACCAAGGAACTTCAGAGGGCCCAAACAAAGCTAGTGAATGGCTAGCATGATCCCATATGAAATTCACTGATGACAAATGCAAGGCAATAGACATTGAAAAGTAAGTTAAATCCATACACTTATTGAGTTCTAAGTTAACTGTAACAACTCAGGAAAAAGACCTGGGAATCACTGAGGATATCACTGTGTGGTAAAGGTACTGTGTAAATGTTATAATATATGTACAAAGTCAGTGGCATATCCTGACCTCCCATTTAGTCCTAAAAAAATAGGAGTACTTGTGGCACCTTAGAGACTAACATTTATTTGACCATAAGCTTTCATGGGCTACAGCCCATTTCATCAGATGCATAGAATGGAACATATAGTAAGAAGATAAGATACATACATACATACAGAGAACATGAAAAGGTGGAGTAAGAGGCTCTAAAAGGATGTCATGGTAGGGTATTGCCACCCTTACTTCTGGGCTGCTGCCTGCAGAGCTGGGCCCTCAGTCAGCAGCCACCACTCTCCGGCTGCCCAGTTCTGAAGGCAGCAGCACTGAAGAAAGGGTGGCTATACCATACCATGCCATCCGTACTTCTGTGCTGCTGCTGGCGGGGCGCTGCCTTCAGACCGGGACGCTCGGCTAACAGCCGCCATTCTCTGGCCACCCAGTTCTGAAGGCAGCGCAGAAGTAAGGGTGGCAATACCGTGACTCCACCTAAAATAATCCTGTGACCCCCATGCAAATCCCTTTTGGGTAAGGACGCTCAATTTGAGAAATGTTTGTTTCCCCCATGAAATCTGGTCTTTTGTGCGATTTTACCCTCTACTATACAGATTTCACGGTCCGTGATGAATTTTTCATGGCCCTGAATGTGGTAGAGCTCTAATCATGTACTTCAGAGCACTACAACCAATTCCACATCAACTGTTGTTCCTCATCCTATTTCGAGGACCAGGAACAAACAGGGCTCCATCTGAAACATCTAAACAAGTTCCTAAAGGAGGCTTATTTTCATATTCCCAGTTACAATTCACCTGCTTTACATATAGATGGTAGGTTGTATCCCCCCACCCCAAATTTTGATTATTATTTGATCTGACATATGCTCCTAGGGTCTCTTACAGCAGTGGCTCTCAACCTTTCCAGACTACTGTACCGCTTTCAGGAGTCAGATTTGTCTTCTGTACCCACAAGTTTCATCTCACTTGAAAAGTACTTTCTTACAGACATAAAAATACAAACGTGTCACAGCACAATATTACTGAAAAATTGCTTACTTTCTCATTTTACCATGAAATGTGTTTGTACTGACTTTGCTAGTGCTTTTTATGTAGCCTGTTGTAAAACTAGGAAAATATCCAGATGAGTTGATGTACCAGCTGGAAGACCCTGTGTACCCTAGGAAGACATATATCCCTGATTGAGAACCATTGTCTTATGGGATCATGTATTAATACTGGCTTTAAGGAAGAAGGAAATGGACTCCTATTTCTTCCTGGATAATTTTGCTGGTCGGGGTGCTGTACAGAGAGAGAGCTGAAGGAAACAGTTATACAGTTATAGAAGTAGCTTGGACTCATGATAAATACATCATAATGGCTCCAGGTAGTCAATCATAGGCTTGGTCTGAGGATTAATCCTATGATGTATAAATTCGAATCTCAGAAGAATATTAACTGAAGATGACGATGGCCACAGTTGAAAACAAATGACGTCACAGAAATAAATCTCTACTGGGCATACTGATCTGATGCACGAAACACGGTCCTGTGACACAGAGTTCCCATGAGTCCTACCAGCCTCTCATCATCCCTTTTGTATCGTAGAAATGCAGGGCTTTAGGCAGTGATGAGCTGCCAAAATCTTAACAACTGGTTCCCTCCTCACCCCACGAGGGGGTCGTAGACTGCCCCCACCCCCAGAGACTCCTGCCCCATCCAACCCTCCTCGTTCCTTGACGCCTCCCTCCCCCGGACCCTCTGCCCCATCCACCCCTGTCCCCTGACTGCCCCCAGAACCGGGCAGGAGGGTCTTGTGGGCCACCGCAGTGGGTGCCCACCGCGCCCCGCCCCTAAGAGCCAGAGGGACCTGCTGGGGGGTGAGGAGTCCCAGCAGCGTTTACCTGTGGCGGCTCCCAGGAAGCATCCAGTACCAGCAGGTCCCTCTGGCTCCTAGGGGTGGGGGAGTGTAGCTAGAGGGGGAGCAGAGGCAGTGACTGCTCCCCCCACCGATCACATCAAAAGTGGCGCCTTAGGCACCGACTCCCTGGGTGCTCCGGGGTTGAAGCACCCACGGGGAAAATTTGGTGGGTGCACCACTGGCAGCTCCCCGCCTGGCCTCAGCTCACCTCCACTCTGCCTCCTTCCCTGAACGCGCCGCCCCGCTCTGCTTCGCCCCCTCCCCCGACTTCCCGCGAAACAGCTGTTCACGCGGGAAGCCTGGGAGGGCTAAGAAGCAGGCGGCAGCTTCACGCTCAGGCCCAGAGAGGCGAAGGCGAGCTGGGGCGGGGAGCAGTTCCCCTCCCTCTCCCTGGGTTACCTCCTGCAGCGCGAGCGGCCCTCATCGCGCCCCCCCCCCCGCCCCAGCTCACCTCTGCTCCGCCTCCACCTTCCTGGGACTGAGTGCGAAGCCGCCGCCTGCTTCTCAGCCCTCCCAGGTTTCCTGCGCGAACAGCTGATTCACGGGAAACCTGGGGGTAGGGGGGCAGAGAAGCAGAGCGGGGCGGCGCGTTCAGGGGAGGAGGCGGAGCGGAGGTGAGCTGGGGCCGGGGGTGGGGCGGGGAGCTGCTGGTGGGCCACCAAATTTTCCCCTTGGGTGCTCCAGAGCTGGAGCACCCATGGAGTCAGCACCTAAGGCGCCACTTTTGGCCGGCTGTTAAATTTAGAAGCCCTTTTAGAACCGGTTGTCGCCCCCGGCAGGTCCCGTGAGGGGCAACCAGCTCTAAAAGGGCTTCTAAATTTAACAACCGGTTCGTGCGAACTGGCTCCAGCTCACCACTGGCTTTAGGGGACGTAAGTCCAGCCCCTTAACGCTGAGGCAAGACTGAGTTACCCTAGGCCACCCCTGACAGGTGCTTGTCCAACCTGGTCACACACACACACCCCGGCAGGGACCCTCCCACGCCTGTTGCACAATTCAACTTCCCTCAAAGTTAAAAAAAGTTTTATCTTCAGATCTAACCTAAACCTCCCTGGCTGCAGATTGAGTCCCCTTCACGTCTTGTCCTGCCGCCAGTGGCCACGGACAACAACTGATCGCCCTCCTCTTCGCACCAGCCCGACCCCCCTCCCCGGTTTACACCATTACCAGGCCAGCCAGAGGTGACAGGCCTTGGCCTTCCCCTCCCCCACCCCCTTATCCCTGACACTGTCCAGCAGCAAGCGCGGTTGGCAGCTGTACACGTGGGTTCCGGGCACGCGCACCCTCCCCCCCCCCGCCGCCTACCACCCCAAACGCTCGCTGCGATTGGCTCCCGGGGACTGTGAAACTGGCCAAGGAACGCGCCGCCGCGAGCGCGGAGAGACGAGAAGGGGCAGGGCCAGGTTCAGGACAAGAAGAGGGGCGGCCCAGCCGATTACGTCATTTCCGCTTCCGCAAGCGGTGACGACGCACACAGACGTAGCGCGCCGCGTTACGCACGCGAGCGTCCCCCTCCCCACTCTCACGCCTGTGGGCGCAGCGCGAGTGCGGCTGGTGAGCTGGGGGGCCCGCGGCGGCGTTTCGTGTTTCGCTCAGCGAGCGAGCGGCTCTGCGCGCGCCACGACCATGAGGCGCAGCAAGGCCGAGGTGGAGCGGTACATCGCCTCCGTGCAGGCCGCGGCCCCCTCCCCCAAAGAGGTGAGCGGCCCGCCGGTGTCCCCGGCGAGCTCCGCTAGCGGAGCCGGGCCCGCGGCGGGGGGGGGTCGGTCGGTCGGTCGGTCCCCGCCCGGGTGACTGCGGGGCGGCGGCGGCTTGTTCCCCAAGAGCGAGGGCCGGGGAGTGGGGCGAGTCAGTCGGCGGGGAGCGGGTGCCGGGGTCGCCCGGTGGCGGTGGGGTGAAGGGACTTGGCGCCCGCGAGGGGCGGCTGGGGGAGGGCGGCTGCCCCGATCCGGCACCGGCGGGGCCCCACGGGGTGGGCCCCCGCCCGCGTCAGGGAGGCGGGAGGGTCAGCGAGTCCCGGGCCCGTGTCTGACAGGAGCCCGGCTTCCAACGTCGTTGGCCTGGCCTCATTTCGGTGTGGGCGGGGCCCCCCGCTCTGTGGGCCGGTTGCAAGGCCGGGCCCCTGCCCTGGCTGTGGGGGTGGGGCTGGGGCTGTAGCCAAGGCTGGGAGGAGAGTGTAGCAGCCGGGTCCCCGGAGTCTAACCGAGATGGGTCTGAGCCATCTTCTTGGCTGTGGGCGCTTTTCCTTCAGCCCTTCGTCCGTCCGTCCGCGGTTGAGTTGAGGGAGAGCGATGGGATCGTGCAGGGAAGCTCGCCCTGCTGCTTCTGCTAAGGAAAGGATTTAAGTCGCTAATGCGATGCTGCAGATTTGATTTGTCTGAAACACTGGTATTGCTCTTAAAAAAAAAAAACGTGCAATTTAGCTTTCAAAGTTATTAATCTGTAGGGCGGTAATTCATGGGCTCAAACTTTTTTCACAAAACGTGGATCACATTTTAATAAAAAGTGGCTGACCTAGCTCCCTGCTTGTTCATGGGCTTGTAACAACCCCATTGCAACGATCACAATTGTTTACATGGAATTAGCTGAAAATGCATTACATTCTTATCTGGTAATGCACTTTAGAAATGAAAATTATAGCTAGTTCTGCGTCACCAGTTATCTCTCTGCAGACCCCAGAAGATGCTCTCCAGATCACCAGTGGTCACACAGATATAGTTTAACATAGGCATTTAATTCTGAAAAGCCAGAGATCAATCTAATGCTTAAAACCTGACTGTTAACACTTATTCTGTAGTTTTAGTCCTATTAGTAAATGCTCTATATTGTAGTGGCAGGAAATTTAACAGTGTTATGTACTGCTTTGTAGGCACATCAGTGTGTTTAATGTATAATCTTTTTAGGCAGGCTTTGTGCACACAGTATTGTTACTATCTCATTGAAATACGCATGCAGAGATTTTGTTGATTGTGGAAGTCATAGGATTCAGATGCCTTTTACAACAGAGACCATGTCAACAAATTATTCAATTTAAAAGTTACACCTAACAGATATTTGTTGTTACATCACACTTTTTTTAATGTTTGCTCCTGTTCACTGTGCGAAAGACCCACACAAACAGGGAATGCTGACTTTACATGGGTAATGGTGTAGCTGATTGTATAGTAAGTACACAAAGTAAACACTGGAAAATAGGTACTTCTCATTCTTCCTTTGTCCTGTATTGTAAAATTAAGAAGGGACTGAAATGAACTATCCCTTGAAATTGTAAAGAAATGTGGCTCACCAGACCGTTTCAAACTTATCAAACACATTTGTCCAATAATATAGTATTTATGGAGAAGATTAAAAACTAAACATGTCTTATTAAAGGGTAAAAAAATTAAAATGCATGCTTTTGTTCAAAAATAAATAATCTTTGTGCTGAAACAGAGAAATTTAATATCTAGTGAGTGATTTGAGAAAGTTGAGGGATTGGAATTGCTTAGAATGTAATGGGTCATTTTATGTTTGTCCTGGATCTTAAATGTGATTAAGGTTGTATTTTTTTCTTTTTTCTTTTTTTTTAAACTGTGGTTGAGAACTTAATGATACAAACAAACCAAGAAATTCTTACCATTCTTAATTCTGCCTCAATAGTTCATCCACTTTCCAGAGAAGCACTTGGTGTCCAATAATACCTTGTCCCTACATGCTTTATAGATAATTATTTGGGTTGTCTTCATTTGCTGTTAATACAGTGGTTCTGGACCTGTGGTTTGTGGACCACCAGTGTTCCTCAGAGCATTTGCTGGTGGCTTGCAGAGATCTGGTTGGTCATCTGATTTTTGGCTCTCTTTGTTTCCAGGTCCTAAATTGCATTAAAGAAAACTAAAAATACATTGAATCTTTCTAGTGTCGCACTCTCTAATAAGCAATTGCTGTAGCTGACACAGGGATGTTTCCCAATTGTGAATATGGGAAGGGATACACAATACAATCCTTTTATGAACAGGTGCTATTAAAACATTTGAGAAAATGTAAAGATTCCTGAGCTGATGCCAGTATTTCAGAAATAAGTTAAGTGGACTTCCAGTAGAAATATGATAGGATCTTAGCTTGGTTTTGTTAGCATTGATGGATATGCTTTTGAAAGGAGTAGGAAGGAGAAGTACTTGGCCCTTTCCAGTTGGTGCCATGTTAGAGGCTTGCCAGTAGCTGATGGCTGGACCCAATTTGCATGTAAAAGTCCAAAACTTCATTATATCTAAAATGTTTATTTGTACTTCTGTCTTCCTTGATAGAGGAGTAGAAATTACTGTTGGCTGAATTAATTGTTGAGGGAAAAACGAGCAATTATCAGTTTCCATACTCTGTGGGCACTTTATCGTTTGAGCGCAGAGATTTTTTGGTCTGTGCTCCAAGAAGTTTACAGTCAAACAAGTTTCCCTTGGGATTTATTTTGTCTTTAAGTCCCAAATTCCAAAGAGGGGATAAACTTTTGCACTAAATATCCTTTTAAACAGAGATTGGGATCTATCGTGGATTTTCACTGTGACTTTGGCTCCATCAGCTGCTTCTGGCTGTATGTTCTGAACCATTCTCCTACAGCGTCATACAGATAAAAAGGGTTGCATGTTTGCTTTGTTTCTTTTTGCTACAGTTTCAAGTGAAATTAAGTTTGTAGCAAAAAATACAAAAATCAAAACTTAGTGTTTAATTAGCAGTTCATTTATTTTGTCATTCTTTACCCACTTCTTTTTGGAATGCTTTCACTGGTGTCCTTTATTTCCTCCTTGGTTCTCTGCATCTTTCACCTCTTCTGATTTTACCTTTTTTCTTTGAGACTTTTCAGAGACTTCCATTTTACCTTTTAATCTTGTTCATTCACCAACAACTCTGTTTTGAAGTGATACTCGCTCTCACCTAGAAGATCTGGAGTTGGATTTTTCATTATCTTGTCAGTGTTGGTCTTCCACTTAACCAGAATGAGTTGCTAGAGAAATAAATAAAGTGTTCCTTCCTTCCCCTTCATGCCTGAGTTTGTAGTATCTGCATGTGTATGTCACCTCTGTTGGTCCAGGGAGAAAGGATCTCGATAGTCACAAGCTGATGCTCTGCCATTAAATAAAAAGATACAGCCTCACTGCGTTTTCTCGTCTCCCCTCCTTTTTGTTACTCTTCATCTCCGTTTTCTTCTTTCTTTTCTCAAGAAGTGCCTGTTTCTCTGCTCCACAGCAGCCATGACAGGAGCTAGTCAGTTTCACTCATGTTCCTGCTCCAGCAGTTCTGTACAGGAGCAACTGAGGCACTAGTTTCAGAGTAGTAGCCATGTTAGTCTGTATTCGCAAAAAGAAAAGGAGGGCTTGTGGCACCTTAGAGACTAACCAATTTATTTGAGCATGAGCTTTCGTGAGCTACAGCTCACTTCATCGGATGCATACCGTGGAAACTGCAGCAGACTTTATATATACACAGAGATCATGAAACAATACCTCCTCCCACCCCAATGTCCTGCTGGTAATAGCTTATCTAAAGTGATCATCAAGTTGGGCCATTTCCAGCACAAATCCAGGTTTTCTCACCCTCCACTCCCCCACACACAAACTCACTCTCCTGCTGATAATAGCCCATCCAAAGTGACAACTCTCTACATAATGACAGGTTTCAGAGTAACAGCCCGGTTAGTCTGTATTCGCGAAAAGAAAAGGAGTTTCTGTTCCTCAGACGTTCTTGTTAAACCCTGGATTTGTGCTGGAAATGGCCCACCTTGATTATCATACACATTGTAAGGAGAGTGATCACTTTAGATATGCTATTACCAGCAGGAGAGTGGGGTGGAGGGAGAGAAAACCTTTTGTAGTGATAAACACCCATTTTTTCATGGTCTGTGTGTATAAAAACATCCTCACTTTTTTTCATGGTCTGTGTATAAAAACATCCTCACTGTATTTTCCACTTTATGCATCCGATGAAGTGAGCTGTAGCTCCCGAAAGCTTATGCTCAAATAAATTGGTTAGTCTCTAAGGTGCCACAAGTACTTTTCTTGAGGCACAAGGATGATCTTCTACTGTTAGAGATACAGTGGGTGGTAGAATGGAGAGAAAGTACTTTTGGCTGCTTCTCCCTTCCCTTGCAGAACATCTGTATTAATATCAGGCCACAACTATATCTTTGTGACACAAGCAGAAATTTTCCCTTCGGGGAGAACTATCAGGGAGTAATCAAGAGTAGTGTAGTTTGGGAATACTATGGGATTCCTGTGTCCTAGTTAAATATCAGTGTTTGATGACAGACTTGTTGCAGTGTATAATTTAAGAAATTAATCATCTCCCTACTGGTGGATGGATGTGTAACAAGCTTTTCCAGCAGTAAGAGTATTGTATTGTGACCAAAATTACCCCATCTTGTCTCCCATTCACTGTTTTTGTTAGCTGCCTGTCAGAAGTGCTCCTATTACAACCAAGCAATGAATTTCTCTGGTTCACTGGGTAGCTGTAATTTCCCAAATGTACACCATCAGTATGGTATTAGGTCTTTCTCTACAAAGATGTTATGGGGGAGAATATTACAGACCAAAATGAAAAACTGGACTAGGGTTGATAACTGATGTGTCTGAAGTTTAATCACTTAATATAGTATATGTTAACTGGGAACTTTGTCTAAACCATTTTGGGTCAAAAATATAGACATTAAATATTTTAAGATTATTTATCATTAATGTTTTTCCTCTCCAGAAATCAATGAAAGGATTCTTTTTTGCTAAACTCTATTATGAAGCGAAAGAGTATGAACTTGCTAAAAGGTAAAGTATATGTTGTTCTGTCCTCCAAAGAGCTTTACTGCTATAGAAATTAAATGGATACTGGTATTGTTACAAAGCAATTTCTGATGCCTAATACTGAATGATCAAAACTGTTATTTTCAGACAGTGCTGATAGCACTTATTTGATACAAATCCATTGAATCACTAATGGGGAAACCTGAAGGAAAATTGGAAATGAGGGACTGAAAAGTGTTCTTTATTCAGACAGCTGTCATTCAAACAGCATAGCAGAACTTTATATTTTAGTTTCCGTAAGTTACTGTTTCTAAGTGATTCGCTATCACAAGTCTCCCTTATTAGGCGCACACATTTTCTGGCAAACAGGTAATGATGGCTCATATCAGAATAATGTTGGTTAATTTTTTTTGAGGCCCCAGAACAGATACCTGGAACTAAACACACTGCTTGGTCTTCACCCTCAGAGTCCAGAGCACCAGTGAACTATTTACGTTGTTTAACTGTCTGTTTCAGGTTTTGTTTCAGAATTATTCCTTACATAGGGATATGGTAACTGCTTTCTTACAGATACATATCTACTTACCTTAATGTACAAGAGAGAGATCCCAAGGCACACAAATTTCTGGGCCAGCTCTATGAAGCTGAAGATAACATAGAAAAAGCTGTGGGTTGCTATAAGGTAAGAAGTAAAATGATGAAATCAGATGATTCTTGAATTATGGACGAATCCCAGAAGGGTTTAGTGTCACTTATTTCTCTTTCCTAGCTTAAGTTACTAGAAAGCCTCAGTTTTATAACCCGTGGACCTCCGCACATGTTAAGTTAACTCTGGGGAAAAAAATCTTCTACTAATTGGAAAACATTCTGGCATATCTGTAGAAAAGCAGGTTTGGGTCTTACATTAGTTCACCTAATGTGCATTGTAAAAATAGTCACGAATCATACCAGTGATTGATCTGGATCTGGACAATGGCTATTGCTTCAGGGACCGGTATAACTCTCCCCTTACCAAGTATCAGAGGGGTAGCCCTGTTAGTCTGGATCTGTAAAAGCGGCAGAGTGTCCTGTGGCACCTTATAGACTAACAGACATATTGGAGCATAAGCTTTCATGGGTGAATACCCACTTCGTCTCCCCTTACCCTCCCTCAAATGAACAGTTAAGAAATAACATGCCTATGGGGGAATTTTTACTTCTAATCTTGGGTGATTGACTGGCTTATGTTCTAAAGCATGAGGATTTAGTCCTTATGAACTTTATCCTATCTAACGTAACTGTATATTCATAAAAATATCTAACCCTTTAATGAATTGTAATAAGAAGTTTAGCTCATTTTCTTGCAGCACTGAGTTTGTGTGACAGCTTTTTGTGATTCTTGTTATATTTTCCTCTTTCTCACTCTCAAAATGTGTATTCTCTTCCCTGGTGCTGTGTTAAAGACCAGCAAAACCAAAGAAGGAAACTAACTTGCTAGCCGTGGGAAAACAAAATTGACTATGGTCAGTACTGTCAAATGCAGAAATTAAAAACATGGGAAGAAATAGAGGAAATTCACTATTGATGCAATATCTAAGATAAGTGTAAAGAAAATTCAAACAGAAGTAACTGTGTACTGTATCAGTCCTAGAGCTGATCTTTAAGAAACCTGACCATTAACTTCTTCCCACACTGAAAATTGATTAATAGGGAGTTTAGGCTGGTAGAATACTTTTCAAAATAAGGCAAAATAAGATTGCGATTTCCTAACAGGGATCCCTATAACTTTATGGTTTGTATTCCAATTGCTAGTAAACTGCATTACAGTACTGCGTTACAGAATCAGGACCAAAACTTATTGATCTGACTCATTCCATAAGCATATAAAGGTGTAAAACTACCAGTATGTGTTTCTTCACCTAATAACTTTTCGAAAAATAAGCTTATTAAAAACATGTCCAATACATCTTGCGAAGTGTAGTACTATAACAGATTTTTGAAGCTGCTTTCGTTGCACACTTAAAACTGTAAAAGTACATACTGATGAGTGTTTCTGAGTAGTTTTTTGTTCTGTTTATCTAGTTATATGCTGAAATTCTTCATAATTCATACTAACTACAAAAATAACAGCTGTTTGGTTTTTTTGCGGTGGTGATGAAATATTAGCGTTCAGTGGAGTTGAACCCAACACAAAAAGATCTTGTACTGAAGATTGCGGAATTATTGTGTGACAATGACGTTACAGATGGAAGAACAAAATACTGGGTTGAGAGAGCTTCTAAACTCTTCCCTGGAAGCCCTGCTGTTTACAGACTGAAGGTAAACTGAAATTTTGAGGTGTGCTATAATCACAAAGTTCTAACATTCATGCAGTTATTTTAAGCTATCGCTTTGCTGCTGATTCCTAACATACTGTTAGCTTTTCTGACTGCTGCCGCATGTTGAGCGGATGTTTTCAAAGAACTACCTGCAATGACTCCAAGATCTTTCTCGAATGGTAACAGCTAACTTAGATCCCATCATTTTGTATGGACAGTTGGGGTTATATTTTCCAATATGTATTACTTTACATGTATCAACATTGAATTTCATTTGCCATTTTGTTGCCTAGTCACCCAGTTTAGTGAGATCCCTTTGTAACTCTTCACAGTCCGCTCTGGATTTAAGTATCTTGAGTAATTTTGTATCGTCTGCAAATTTTGCCACCTCACTTTACCGCTTTTTCCAGTTCATTTATGAAAGTTAAACAGCACTGGTTGCAGTACAGACGCCTGGCGGACACCACTATTTACCTCTATTCCAGTGGTTCCCAAACTTTAACAGCCCGCAAAGCCCTTTCACTAAATTGTGAAATCTTGTGAGCCCCCTTCTAAAACTGAATATTTCCAGGGATTTAAGTTTAAATTTCCTCCGCACTCCATGGGGTTCCTGCTGCTGGACCCCGTTGACCGCCCCGGTCAACTGAGCTCCACTGAGTTCGGACTGCAGGTCCCGAGCGGAGCGCTGAGGTTTGGGCGGCCGGCTCCCCTGCTCACGGGGGCAGGGCTCTGGCTGCCAGCCCCAACTGCCCTGCCTCACTCTCCCTGGGGCTCGGGCTGTCTGCACTGCAACCGGGTCCCACCTGCTGCCTCCAATGCCCAGGGTCCTCTGGGTGCCATTAGTGAAATTTTTCTGGCGCACCCCCTGTAACATTCTGAAAACCCCAGTTTGGGAACCACTGGTCTATTCTGAAAACGGACTTTTTATTCCTACCCTTCGTTTCCTATCTTTTAACTAGTTACTGATTCATGAGCGGATCTTCCCTCATCCCATGACTGCTTACCTTGCTTAAGAGCCTTTGGTGAAGAACCTTGTCAAAGGCTTTCTGAAAGTTTAAGTACACTATATCCACTGGATCGCTTTTATCCATATGTATGTTGAACCCCTCAAAGAATTCTAATAGATTGGTGAGGCATGATTTCTCTTTATAAAAGCCGTGTTGACTCTTCCCCAACATATCATGTACACTTATGTGTCTGATAATTCTGTTCTTCACTATAGTTTCAGTTTGCCTGGTATTGAAGTTAGGCTTATTAGCCTGTAATTGTTGGGATCGCCTCTGGAGCCTTTTTTAAAAATAGGCATATTAGCTGTCTTCCAGTCGTCTGGTACAGAAGTTGATTTAAATGATAGGTTACATACCATAGTTAGTAGTTCTGAAACTTCATATTTGAGTTCCTTCAGAACTTGATGTAGGGAGAACTTCCTGGTCCATGACAGCACTTCTAGTTCTGACAAGTAGCAAAGTAGCAGACCTTTAAACTGTTACTGGTTTCTTTGTCTAGTGATATATTTTTTGATCTGGTTTTATGGCTGACTACCTAGCAAGTACCAGGCTCAACCTCAGCAACTCTCTCACTTTGCTTATTTGTTTTTGTGTTTTCTGGGAACAGTTGTGGACATCTCAATTTGTTAGAATCCCTAACTCTGTATTGATTATAGATCTATAAAAATATTGTTTTCACTTAAATGTCAGAAGTCCATCACAGACACTTTCTTGTGTAGCTTTTCCTATCTGAGGGATTAGTGTGCAGAAATGTAGCAGCTTTTTTGATGGCATTTGGCTAGTTGCCTACTTTCTGTACTCCTTGAATAAACACTTGGATAAATATTTGCTTTTTAAATAACTTTTTGTTGCTGCATTTTTCTTCCCAACATGGGGTCTGTATCTTCACTCCCATTCTTATGAATGGGAGTAATGAAGTTTGATCTTTTCAGGTAACTAAGCATCTGTGGTCTGACTTGTGTATGAATGCATTAGTTTTTTAATGTATGCCAGCAATAATGTAGTTCAAATCGTCTGTCTTTTTTAAAAGTTAACTCTGCTTTAACAAAAATGAATCCTTGACTAGATACAATGGTATAGAATAGGAATATAATGAAAATAATATTCTGTAAAACCAAAATCCTATTAGATCTGACAGGGTTCTCTTGTGCACTTACTTCAGTAAAGGAATATTTAAAAAATAGTTTTAAAAAAATCTCAAATAATGCTATTAAGTCTTAGCAAATTATACAAACTCATTTCATATATAAATGTCTTAAAACCTGACATACTCTCAACCACTCGGTCTATGCATAATCAGGTACTAAGAGTAGGGAATGATAAAGGAAACTGTCCTGTCATGTGGTCAGTGATTTTAAAAAAAATTTAAATGGAAAATGAGATGCTAAAAACGCACTGCCTTTGTTTTTAATAGGAACAGTTATTGGATTGTAAAGGTGAAGATGGATGGAATCAGCTTTTTGATCTGATACAGTCAGAACTCTATGCAAGACCAGATGATGTCTATGTAAATATCAGGCTAGTAGAGCTCTACCGTTCAAATAAAAGATTGAAGGATGCTGTGGCTCACTGTCGAGAGGCAGAAAAGAAGATTACTATGCGATCAAGCTTGCAGTGGTGTTCGTGTGTTGTACAGACACTTAAGGTTTGTTAAATCCATACTGTGGTTTTGGGAAAATCTCTTGTGTTTTCTATATTAGGCTGGTTCTTTTGTGGAACTAGTGTCTATCCTGCAAGTAGTGGGGGACTAGGGGACAACACTGGGCCTATGGAAGAGTTCTCTTTTTTTTTTTTTTTTAAACTAAAGTCCACCAAAACAAAAGGAATTTCAGTTTACTCTCCTTGCTTTATTACATTTGATCTTAATGTATATCCCTAAGACTGTTGGGTTTGTCTCTTGAACAGAGTTGGCGTAGCACTTCAATCTTTGGTGGAGAGGCTTTGTTGCTGGAAAATATGTGGGAGAACTGGATGTTAAGATCCCACCTTGCAAACTGGAATATTCTGTGAATGTAACAAATGTGCTCTAGGGGTGGTACTATTACCACCCTCAAGAAAGGTGACTAAATTATGTCTCTGGTAAATCTTTTGTAGGAATATTTGGAATCTGCACAGGACTCAGAGTCTGAAAAAAGTAATTGGAGAAACACCAACAGAGATCTGCTGCTGGCCTACTCCAACCTTGTGGTGATGACACTTTCTACTAGAGATGTTCAAGAAAGCAGAGAATCACTTGCAAGGTACTGTCTTCATCACATTCTTACTGTAAAAGACTTTGAGTAATCTCTTGTGAAGAGGTGTCATTCTGTGCTATGGAGCATCAAACAGACCTTTTTTTCAGTGTACAGGTGGTTGAGGGAAATGACTGACTTTAAAAAAAACTCCATAGTAATCGCTGAGGCTGGTACTTCTGTCCTATGCTATTCTGACTGGTGCTGTGCATCTGCCTTCAGTCTGCTGACTGCTGGGCTGGAACTGATGCGTATCTCTTCACTTTAGTCTAGGCTTGAAGACCCAGAGCAATATTTTTCCCATAAGCTTATATATGGTCCCTGGCTTGTCTCTTATCTAGTAAGAAAGAATACTTCATGACTGTACAGTAACCAAAGTGTGTCTTAATATTGCTCAAGCAGCATAGGTAGGGCTTACCAATTTCATGGCCATGAAAAACGTGTCACAGACCGTGAAATAGGCCCTTCCCCGTGAAATCTGATCTCCCTGAAATCAGCCAGGACTTGTCCTTCCCCTCCACGGCTGTTATTAGAGGGAGATCAGACCCACCTCCACAGGCAGAACCGAAGAGGTTGTACCCCACCCTCACTTCTGCGCTGCAGCAGCCCCAGAGTTAGATTCTGCGCTGCAGCAGCCCCAGAGTTAGATTCTGCGCTGCAGCAGCCCCAGAGTTAGATTCTGCGCTGCAGCAGCCCCAGAGTTAGATTCTGCGCTGCAGCAGCCCCAGAGTTAGATTCTGCGCTGCAGCAGCCCCAGAGTTAGATTCTGCGCTGCAGCAGCCCCAGAGTTAGATTCTGCGCTGCAGCAGCCCCAGAGTTAGATTCTGCGCTGCAGCAGCCCCAGAGTTAGATTCTGCGCTGCAGCAGCCCCAGAGTTAGATTCTGCGCTGCAGCAGCCCCAGAGTTAGATTCTGCGCTGCAGCAGCCCCAGAGTTAGATTCTGCGCTGCAGCAGCCCCAGAGTTAGATTCTGCGCTGCAGCAGCCCCAGAGTTAGATTCTGCGCTGCAGCAGCCCCAGAGTTAGATTCTGCGCTGCAGCAGCCCCAGAGTTAGATTCTGCGCTGCAGCAGCCCCAGAGTTAGATTCTGCGCTGCAGCAGCCCCAGAGTTAGATTCTGCGCTGCAGCAGCCCCAGAGTTAGATTCTGCGCTGCAGCAGCCCCAGAGTTAGATTCTGCGCTGCAGCAGCCCCAGAGTTAGATTCTGCGCTGCTACCCCAACGGCTCTTGCTGGGCTCGAGACTGCCATCCCCCACAGCTCCAGCCTCTGCACCTCCTGCCCAGGCCGCCCCTCCACACCCTGTGGCTCCTGCCAGGGCTGGGGCACCCATTTTTCATATTGTCCAGGGCTACTGGGCACATGCCCCATGGGCCCATGCGTTAATTCACCACTGGCCCTGACTAGCAGCTAGGAGCCCCTGATTGGGGCACTCCCAGCAGCACTGCGAAGATTGGACCTACCTCCACCTCCAGGAGCCTCCTCCAGCTTCAGAAAACTCCGCAGCTGCTACCTTCAGAGCTGGGCTCTGAAGGCAACACAGAAGTGAATATGGCAATCCTGCAACCCCCCTGCAACTTGGCTTGGCCCCCACCCTCCACCAGTCCCACCAGTCCTCTCTTGGATCGGAACCCCCACAGTTACAACACCATGAAATTTCAGATGTAAACATCTGAAATCATGAAATTGACCAATTAAGACCCTGTGGCTGTGAAATTGACCAAAGTGAACCCTGAATTTGGTAGGGCCCTAAGCATAAGAGGAGATTTCATCATCAAAAAAGACAAGAAAAGAAGCACTTATCAGCTTGCATACAGTCTTGTCTCAGTGTTTGGTGTAAAAGTTCCTTTGAACTAAATTGCACTTACAAATATTCACACAGTGAAGTATTTGAACGTCTCAACTCATACAGTATCCCAGTAGCAAAATTGCAATCAGCGTTGAGATGACACTTTCCTTCCAAACTCCTGTGATCTGTTAACTAGACTTCTCGAACAAATTTTCCCTTTGGTCTGAAATGTCTCATGTTTTTGGCTCAGGCATCTGAAAAATTTAACTCCAACCCCGCAGATTTTTATCTGTAATTATTCAGTAAATGGGTAAGGACACTCTATCCGGAGACTTTTTTGGAAAAAAATTAGGCGTATGTAACTTGTGAATAGTCAAGTATTTCTGCTTGGGTGAGAACTGTGTGTGCCCATACTCAGTCATCTTTTTCTTTAGCTTCTTTATTACCTGTGCAGTAGTTTATAAAAAAATAAATAAATAAAGGAAGTGACTTTAAGACAAGTGTGTAGTTGATTACTTAGTGCCTGCTAGGACACACAAACTGTAAGATTGGAAAATATTGCTTGACAAGGGGTAGGCCATATCATTTGGACTGCTTTATCTCCTCTAACGTTTCTGAAGCAAAACAGGTTTGGGTTGGTTAGCAGTTGAATGGGTGGCCAGCTGAGAAATACATAGTGTCCTGTGCTTTTTGCTGCTGTGATACTATCTGTTACTACATAGCCTCTCATCTAATAGTATTTCTTGGCAGTATTATCTGTAGACCCGTTTGGTTTGTTGGGGTTTTGTTTTTTTCTGCCGCCTTATCCCATGGGGCTTGAATGAATACATCTGAAACCTTTCCAAGATGGGCTATGATCTTGTTGGATCACTTAAAGAATGTTTTGCCCTAATTAGCATTTGGGAAACCTCCCGGGAATGGAGTTTGTGCAATATGTGCTTCAGGTACCAGACTGTAGCTGCTACTCAAGTTCCTGCAGAACCACCTCCTACATTTAAAAGTCTAATCAGATTTTTCCTGGCTTTGGTTAATTCAGATCATATGCTCACTTAGTTCCAATCACCTTCTGCATGTCCCTTTTACCACCACTTACTGTTTGTTTCATTCTTAATTTTGCCCCAAATGATTCACTCTTCTCTCCCCATCTCAGCACCAGCTTACGAGGTACAGTCATGTCTCAAAGAATTCCTTTTTATTTTTGAGGCGATGCCGGTGGGAGAACTGACTTAAGGGATGGGGGGGTGTCCTTGCTAAAAAAGTGGTTTCAAGAGTTGGGGGACAAGATATCCAAGCAAAAGATTCGCTCATGGGAGTAGTTGTTAAAAAAAAAAAAAAAAAATTTCAGAGCTTTGAAAACTTGAGATTCTGGTGCATCAAGCCATTTGATTCACTATCATGCAAACCTACTAGTTAAATAATATTACTGACAAAACAGTAAGTCTGAAACCACTAGTATACAAATTGTCTAGTTTTAATTACTTTTTGTTTGTACTATAGTTTTGATCATGCTCTTCAGTCTGTGAAACCATATGTGAATGGGAATGATGAGCTGTCTGTTACATTCCTGGAAATGAGAGGTCACTTTTACTTGTATGCTGGAACTCTCTTGTTGAAAATGGCCCAGCACAGTGAGAAGCAATGGAGAGCTGTATCTGAACTGGCAGCTTTGTGTTACCTTATAGCTTTTCAAGTAAGCTGTTTTCAGTTTTTGTATTATGCATTAGTTGATATAGAACTCATTTTTATTTTATTTTGAACTGTAGTTCTTCTCAGATGAGCAGCACTTTCTAAGTACATGTCTTTCAGCTGTTAAAGAATATTTTACCACCTTTCAGTTTGTTGTAGAAAATCTGGGGTAGGTGAGTGCATGTGTTGTCTCTTGCTCTCATCAGAAGTAATCAGGCTCTAACTGGTTAGCATTTTTATCGCCTCAGATGTATCACCTTTTGCTCTGAGACCACACAACTACACCATGTACCTGCCAGTGTAAAATTGGCCCCAGCATTGAGGAGGCACAGATCCTTTTATGTGTGCCCCACACCCAGCGTGTTGTGGACACAGCAGAGAATTTGGGCCTCAATCCTTCACTTTATTAAATCAAAATATCTCCTTCCACCTTGGCCCCTGTAATCTGGGAATAGTCTGTATTCATGCCAGCTTAATTTTGCTATTAATTTACACTTCCCAGAGATGTCTAGCAAAAATACATACATAAATGCTAATTAAGAAGAACTTTTGGGGGGGCCGGAAGGAGGTGTCTGGTAACTGAAAAATAGTAGCTTGCCATGATGATATTAAACTTCCTTCATGTTCAATAAACATAAATTTTGGATTTTCTATTTTACTAACAAAAAGCTAGAGGGGAGTTTAACTTTTGAAGCAGTAACTTCTTGGTTCCTGACTCTCATGTAATTCCCACCAGGTCCCTAGACCAAAGACAAAACTAATAAAGGCAGATCAAGCTGGACAAGATATACTGGAAATGTTAGCCTGTGATCGACAGAGCCAGTCTGGTAACAAGAATATTAATTGCAACTGTTTAAAACAAAACTAATATGTTCTTTTCCAAATGGTATATACAAGAAATAGATTTTTTAGTGATTTGAAATTTATACATAAACATTTTCCTGTTTAAATTCATGAAAAATGTTCAAAGCTTCAAGTAGGTTTGTATAAAAAGTGAGTCTGATCATGACACACTTAAGTTCCCATATCTTCTTCTTAACTTAGCAGTGCACTGCACTCATTTTTGAACTGTTTCAACATTCTTAAAATACAAAAACTTTCACATTTTTGAATAGATATAAAACTTTTGAAGTCGCTACCTCAGTCTCCTTAAAATCGTTTCTGCCATAGCCCCTACAGACACTAACGGTTATGCCCTGCTCCTGTTGTTATTACCATGTCTTTCTTCCCCATCACACCATCCATTGTTTCTGAGCCACCTTTTTCTTTGTCATTAACCTAAGTTGTAAATTCTAGGCTAGGGACTGTGCTGTGGGAATGCATTGTGGTTAAAGGACTTCAGGATGAGGTGCTTTTCAGAAATTTCCTTGCTCTGCAAGGGACCATTCTACTTAAGCCATGGCTATTCATATTGAAGGTAATTCCAGGGTCCCCGGAATACCAAGAATCCTGGCTTTCCTATTTGTTATACTAGTACTACAAAGACTTCCATATCTTCGTGTTTAGATGATTGAATTTAAGAATTCTTTGGTCTGACTGCCTCACAAAGGGTGGCATGAAAAAGACTTGAAAACATGTGGGGTAAATCCTGGCCCAGTTGATGTCTGGAGTTTTTCCATGGACTTCATTGGGGCCTGGATTTCACCCATAATCTTTAATCTTTGACATGTTGGATTAATGACCTGATGAGACATGCTTGCTACTAAACAATCTTAATTCACTGCACTACTCATATTTAAAATAATTCTGCATGAATGTTTTGCTTTACAGGTCACATGCTGCTAAACTTAAGCCATGGCAAGCAAGACTTCTATAAAGAGATTGTGGAGTCTTTTGCAAATGAAAGTGGGCAATCTACTTTATGTGATGCACTCTTTGAGAATGGAGCTCCTAGAGAGAGAACTTTCATTAGCACTGATAATATCAGAAGTGTCTGTATACAGGGACCAAACCATGTGGATCTAGCCAGATATGATATTGGTAAGAAGCATCACTTAAGAACACTTTACACTTGCTTTCTATATCTTAGTGTTAGGTTTCTTCTGATTTGAAGAAAAATCCTGCAAATAATACAGACTGCAACCAAGGATAAATGGCCTTTATACAAATAGCAACTTTGTCAATCTACAACATGGTTATAACAGACTTTATCAAATATGAAAACAGATGCCTCAGGCAAGTAACCCATTTCTCTCAGAAATGCCTGAGGGGAAATATATTAGCCTTGGAGTATCTGTAGAAGATCATTAAACCTGGCTGAGACACAAAAAAGAGAGGAAGTTCATTCAAGAGCCATAACTCTTTGAAGAGGATAATCTATTAGCAACCCCTTTGTTAAAATAAAGGACTGCTAACTCAGGAGCTTCTGATGATGGAAATGTATGCAGTATTACAGAGATGACACCTAGACCTAGAGGAAAGGTATTTCTTAGGCCAGTGAGTTTGCAGTTCTAAATACAGTTCTCTAGCATCCCTACTTTAATCTTAACAGTGCGTTGTGCAGACTTACTGGCCTGTTCTGGCTGGGTGGTCAGTTTGAAATGGTAGTTACTTTGGAGAGTTGGTCAAGCAGCTGTATTCTGGGAGAATAAGTACTTACACAAATCTTGTTTCAAAAAGGGAACTGAAGAAATAAAAAGCTGACCTAAATGGATATTTTTTTAATTGTTTGCTTCTAAATTAAAAACGTTCAGTTAAGATAGCACTGTTAGCTACAAACTAACACTTCTGCTTGTGGAGTCTGTCCAGCTTCAGAAAACTTGGTGTTTTAGGTAAATCCTTTATACCTGTCTGTGTTCAAGCACTATCTTAATTTTTTTTAAACAATTCAGACCCTTGATTAAACTGCTTTGGCAGCTTCCAACTAGCTCACATTTTGTCTATTTATGAAATGTGTAATGTTCAAGAAAGCTTGCAGCTGTTGGTCTTAAATTATAAACTTATTTGCCCCAGTATAAACATACATTATTCACCTGATAGCTAAAATAAACAAACTTGCTCTTTTTACATATTTTATACAGTGAAAAAAGTGGAGATTGGGAATGAGGGGTGGTTAAAATGAAATAAATGTTGGGATACTGCCAAGTGACTATTGTTAAGGCTGATGCAGCATGTACACTTGTGATGCCTGAGGTGATGTCTGAAACGCTATCTAATTCTATAATATCAGAACTTTTACAGCAAAATCATGGAGGTAATAAGACTTCATTTGCAGTGAAGTTTAGAGTTTTCATGCTCTGTCACCTGCTCATGGTCCCCCTCTGCCAAACTTACCTACCTCAAAGCACAGGTAATTATTTGAGTGCTTAGAAATGCAAACATAGACAAAAACGTTTAAGATGCTGATTAGTGAGCCGAGGTGGGTAAGATAATATATTTTATTGGACCAACTTCTGTTGGTGAGAGACGAGCTTACTTAGAGCTCTGCTTCAGGTCTGAGAAATGTACTCTGAGTGAATGTCTATGCTGCCATTAAAAACCCATGACATGACTCGGGCTTGTGGGGCTCAGGCTAAGGTGCTGTTTCACTTCAGTGCAGACTTTCAGTTTTAGGCTGGAGCCCAAGCTCTGGGATCCTTCCACCTTGCAGGATCCTAGAGCCCAGGTTCCAGCCCATGCCTGGGAATCTACACTGCAGTGAAACAGCTTTGCAGCCTGAGCCCTGCAAGCCCAAGTGAGGTGGCACAGGCCAGCCACTTGTGTTTAATTGCAGTGCAGACTTACCCACAGTGTCACACTAAATACAAGGTGGAACATATTGTTTAACATAAGTAGTTAACGCCTTTCAAGGTGAAATGGCCTGTTAACTCCCCTCCAGTTGCAGGGTGTGGGGGGTTGTTAGTGGGTTATAGATTTCTGTAATAAAGTGAGCGTGTCTGTTCAGTCTGTTTTTAGTGTCTACAAAGTTATGAATTTACACTCCCAGTCTCGTCTTTTGAAAGTGTTGTGCGTGTTTCCTTTGCAGATGGGGATTGATGGGTCAGATATAGAGTGATTGCTTTATGAAAAGCATTCACCCATCCTGTAACCCACGAACAACGTGCAGCAGCGTCCCCCTCCTTTCTTTCTCCCCTGTGACTGGAGGGATATTAATTGGCCACTTTACCTTAATGGTCCCTGGAAATATGTTAACTACTTATGCTAAGCAATCTGTTCCACCTTGTATTTAGCTGTAATGCTCTGAGTACATTTCCCAGATCTGAAGAACTCCATGTGAGCTCGAAAGCTTGTGTGTCTCACTAACAGAAGTTGGTCCAATAAAATATTACTTCACTTACCTTGTCTCTCTAATAATTTGGGACCGACATGGCTACAACAATACTGCATACATAAGATGGTGATGGCATCTTTATATTTAAAATAAAATTATCCTCCAGGGATAGCATATGGGATCTCTTTGCTTCTGAGGAATGGACTTGGGGGCCTAAACAATTGATATTTTTTTTAGTCATAGAAAGAGAAGTAGATTCAAAGGCAGGAAACCAAAATGTTTGGCTGGATTATCATTTTTTAAACATTTCATGACTTAAGAATTTTTTAAATGGAATAAGATGCAGCTTTGATCAGTTTACTGTTTGCATAGATGCTGCTGATACAGATCTTAGAAGTAAACAATCATTTGTTTCTGTTTAGGCGCAATTAGAGTGCACAATGGTTGTCTCCAGCACCTTACGTGGCTTGGTTTACAGTGGAACTCCATGTCAGTCTTACCTGCAATACGCAAGTGGTTAAAACAACTTTTTCACTTGCCCCAGGAAACATCAAGACTTGAGACCAATGCTCCTGAAACAATCTGTATATTGGACCTCGAAGTAAGGAAACCGTTTAAGCACTGAAATTTACTATGCTATGGAGATTTGCACAGTATAACATGTATTTATTTTATGAAAACAGGTATTTCTTCTTGGAGTGATATTTACTAGCCACTTACAATTACAAGAGACATTTAATACTCACTACAGTTCACATCAACCTCAATTTTTACCACTACCAGTGAGCAAACAGCTCTGTAGTGAAAGGCAGAGATCCTGGTGGGATGCTGTTTATAACCTTATTCACAAAAAAACAATGTAAGTGGGTTTTTTGTTTGTTTTTACATTTTTACTAAATCTAAGTCACTTCCAGCATGAGAATCTTAGCACTATTAATCAGGTGATTGTAGATTCTTGTGGCATGTACTTTATTTCAACACCTTCAATCTTAGACACTCAAATTTTGATTGTAAAAATTTGAGAGTTTTGAAAGAGACTTCTATGGTATCTCTATACTTCAAGTGAAGGTGTCAGCTAGCTCAAATACAAGTCCATGCCACCACCTCTTCACTATTGTTGTTACATGTGATTAAAGCTACTACAGTATACCTACCTGTGCTACAATCACAGCTGTAGTTGCAATGGCAACATACCTTTAGAAATGGATTGGTGTATGTAAAGGAATTCACTCAGTGCAGGAGCATCTCCTTGTGGCTGGGTGTGACATAGCAGCTGACTCCCTGAGGTGACCCCTGCCTATTGTCACTTCAGTGGTCTCTCTTCCTGCAACTTGGCCCTTCAACCAGGTTACATTTTAGTCTGCCCCTTCCTGTGTAAGAGTCCAGTTACCTTATAGCAGATCTTCCATCTGTTGCTGGGCTCTGTTGTTCTTACACCACTTACCTCAGGAGGTTTCACTTCACCTTCCTCGGTGGCTGGTAGGGAAACCCAGGCCCATCCTCTACTCTGGGTTCCAGCCTACAGACCCTGTAGCTGGCAGCCAAGGTCTACTCCCTCAGACTCCTTCCTGCCTCCCTGGACTGCTTCCTAAATCTTCTGTTCCCCAGACAGTGCTTGCAGACTCTTTCCCTGCAGCCCTTTTCTGCTGCAAACTTACTGGCTTTATAATTACCACCCAGTCCCTCTCCTGTAGGGCTTCATTATCAATTATACCTGGCTTTCTCTCAGGTGCTGCCAGTATGTTAATTGGCCTCACAAGCCTATCTAAATCCTTCAGGGCCTGTGTGGGGTATACACAGTGATCAATGTAGTTCTGTAGAGATATGGCAAATGGGAGGCAAAAAAGGGACTAAAACCAATAATTTGCATAATACTAATAACTTCTTTGCATTATTATAATGGATTGACAAGCAAAAATTTCCCATAAAACAGAGCAGGCTAATTAGGCAATGTGTCTTCGTTACTTTTCAGACCAGGAACAGCAGCAAAATTAAGGCTTCTAGTCCAGCATGAAATAAACACTCTGAGAGCACTGGGGAAACACGGACTTCAACCTGCCCTAATTGTTCACTGGGCAAAATGTCTTCATAAAACAGTAAGTTTGGCAAAAAATATTTTTACGTTTATTATAACTTTATAACTTAATCTTTCTATAACTTACGTATTTCTGTTTGCAGTGTTGTAAAATATTTTTATCATTCTTGGCACAATTTAGCAGTTAGTAGAAATAAACTGAAAATGTAGTAAATGTTCACTTGATCATGTTATGCCAAACAAAATAACTTTTTGCATTTCTTTTCCCAATAGTCATTTGGTACCCTTCTTTTGATATCTCACTTTTTTTCTAGCTGCATGTGTTGCTTGCATTATGTAGGCTTGTACAGAGACTGGATGAGGCTCACCTGAGGAGTCAGAGGTGCCAAAGGCAATACTAGAGCTTTTGAAGACTGTCTGTAGTTGAAGCAAGTTAACAGTTTGAATAATATCTAATGGTAACTGAAATTCCTTAAAATAAACACACTTCTATTCTGCTTCCTTCACAGGGCAGTAGTCTAAACTCTTTCTATGACCAAAGGGAATACATTGGACGAAGTGTTTATTATTGGAAAAAAGTTTTGCCTATGCTGGAAATAATCAAAAAGAAGAAAAGTGTTCCTGAACCTATTGATCCTTTGTTCAAACACTTCCATAGTTCAGATATTCAGGTACTAACATAACTAGCTGGATTAGATTGAGGGGCTGGAAGCAACCTGAAACCTACTCTGTTGTAGAGCTGTGTAAATAAATGTTTTGAGAGGGGGAGAGTTGATTCACTGGCAGTTCTCAAATCTTGTTTTGTGTCCATCTGAAACACAATTTTTTGTAAACTAAAGTTGGAAGAGACTTCATTTTGGGTCAGCCAAAATGTTTTGTTTTGATTTTGGGCACTATTAACTTTTTTTAAATAAAAGCAAATGAAATTTTACGCTAGATTCACAAAACTCCAGAGGAAGTAGTACTGGTGGCCACATTTACCCAGTAGCCTAATGGTTAGGGTACTCACCTGGGATGTGGGAGAGTCAGATTTGAATCACCTCCCCAGAGTACAGAGTAGGTGAAGTGAGCTGTAGCTCACGAAAACTTATGCTCGAATAAATGTTAGTCTCTAAGGTGCCACAAGTACTCCTTTTCTCCCCAGTATAGGGATTGGAACCCTTGTGTTCTCCCTCTTTGGTGAGTGCCCTAACCATTAGGGCATAGAGTCATTCTCAGTGTGTCTCTGGCTTAGTGAATATTGATTTATACTAAGTATAACAGCTCCAACAGGGATCTGGGTCTCCCACATCCCAGGTGAGTACCCTAACCCCTGTGCTGTTGAGTAAAAGGGGTTTTGTGACTCTAGCTTGACACTTCCAAAACTATGCAGTGTAGCTGAAGCCAGTTGGGTCCCAGGATATTAGAGAGGGTGGGTGAGATAATGTCTTTTATTGGACCAAGTTCTGTTGGTGAGAGATACAAGCTTTCGAGTTCACCCAGAGTTCTTCAAGAACTGTGTAAGCTCCAAAGCTTGTCTCTCTCAGCAACAGAACTTGGTCCAATAAAAGATATTACCTCCCCCACTTCCAAAACTGTTTTTTGACTGAAACAATTAGCTGAAATAGACACAAATTCATAAAATGTTTCCCTCAACTTGAATCTGCATTTTTCAGCTAAAAAAAAGTTTTGATTGAAAAACTTGACCCAGCTTTACTCTAGTGCTTCAAATAAGTGCAGAGTTCTGATTTCTGGTATGGTTTTGTACATTTTAGTGGCTCAGTTACTGCCCTAATTTCTTAGCAGCTTTAATAACCTTGCCAGAAATTCTTCCTAACGCCTGGTTTAAGCTTGGACTTCTGATGTCAAGCTGTTGCTCATTGTCTTGCGTACATAAACTGTGCTATTAGAGTAGTACCTTCCTTTCTTTATTTTTGAAAAATTGGATTTTTGTGCCTTTATACTCTGTCCTCTGTTGTGATAAGTAAAATAATTTGATCCTACGTGTTGCATGAGTAGGGCCCTACCAAATTCACGGCCATGAAAAACTCATCCTGGACCACGAAATCTGATTTTTTTGTGTGTGTTTCTACCCTATACTCTACAGATTTCATCAGGGAGACCAGCATTTCTCAAATTGGGGGTCCTGACCCAAAAGGGAGTTGCAGGGAGGGAGGCATCACGAGGTTATATTAGGGGGTTTGCAGTATTACCAGCCTTACTTCTTCCCTGCCTTCAGAGCTGGGTGGCCAGAGATCGGCAGCTGTTGGTCGGGCACCCAGCTGTGAAGGTGGACCTCTGCCAACAGCAGTGCAGAAATAAGGGTAGCAGTACCGCAGCCCTCCCTACAATAACCTGGCGACCCTCTTTTTGGGTCAGGACCCCTACAGTTACAATACTGTGAAATGTCAAGACTTAAATAACTGAAATCATGAAATTTATGATTTTGAAAATCCTATGACCATGAAATAGACCAAAATGGACCATGAATTTGGTAGGGCCCTATGCATAAGGTATAATCTATATAATCCATGACTTCTTTTGTTTTTGTTTGGATTCTAGTTTAAATCTGTTTTTCTACTGAAAAGCCCAGAGCTTACAGCAGTCTACTTAGTCTTCCAAAGGCTTTGTAAAAAGAAATAATTACATCACTGTTCTTATTAGAGACCTTTAAGCTTTAGGAAAAAGTAGTAGATAGATGTACTTTAAGAATTTATGCTGCTGCCCATCATTGTAGTATGAGTGCTGAATCCTCACTGTTTGCCCATGTTTATAATTTCTCATTACTCTAGATTTTGTTCCATATAACTGTATTAGTAGGCTTTTTCCTTCTTTCTTTCCTTATTTTCTTGTCTTCCATTTCTGTACTGTATTGTGTTGGATGAGATAAGGCTCTTAAATACATTGTTGCTTGAATTTTGTGGCATACAGAGTTCAGTCAACTCTTTGCAAGGAATAGTCTTGATTCTCCCCTTTCTACAGCATGTAACTTCATGTGAACCTAGTTGCATCAATTACAAGTGTCAGCAATTCAACACTTGGGCCAAATTCTCTGCTAGTAAAACTCTGAGATGTGAAGTCAGTTTGCCAGAGGTTAAACTATTGCCTTAAAACAGTTTAGGGCATTGACTCTCTTACAGTCAGGTGTAGATGCCATGATATGAGAACCTGAATAGAACCTAGGTGTGGGAGGAAAACCCTTTTGATTCAGTTTAAGATGTGCCCAACATCTGTGCAGTCAACAGTGATTCTGGGATAAAGGCTTATTTTTATTCAAAATTGTCTACATGAGTGTCAAGGATTAGTTAAGTATATTGTATTTACAAAAATACAAAATATTTATAAAAAATATGGATGAGTGTTTGGGGCACATGAAGCATACTTTTGGATCTTTTTTTTTTGTGTGCGCACCAAGTATATAAGAATTCTTCCTTATGGAGATTAGGGAAGGAAGTAGAAGGCATCTGACTTTTTTTTTTTTCTGGGAAAGAAAGATAAGAAGAATAGTAATAGGCCAACATGATCTCATCAGGAGCTTTTTAATGACCTGAAAATCAAAAACTAATCCTACAGAAACATGGGAACATGTACAAATCAAAGGATGAGCTCAAAAAAATAGCATAAACATGTAGGGGAAAAAATCAGGCCAAGGCACAAGTGAGTTACACTTAGCAAGAGACATAAGGCAATAAGAGGTTCTATAAATGAATTAGGAGCGAAAGAAAGATGAAGGAAAGTGTAGGTCTGCCACTTAGCTGTGACGCAGGGCTAATAAGGGATGACATCAAGAGAGCTGAAATGTTTAAAGCGTTCTTTGCTTCAGTCTTCACTAAAAATGTTAATTGTAACCAGTTAATTGACACAATTAATATTAACAAGGGGGAAGGAACATATTCCAGAACAGGAAAAAACAGGTTAAAGAATATTTAGGTAAGTTAAGTGTATTCAAATCATAAGAGCCTAATGAAATTCATCGTAGGGTACTTAAGAAACAAGCTGAAGCAATCTTGGAACAGGTAGTAATTATCGTTGAGAACTCATGGAGGACAGGTGAGGTCCCTAAGGACTGGAGAAGGGCAAATCTAGTACCTATCTTTAAAAGGGAGAATAAAGAGGACCCAGGGAATTATAGACCAATTAGCCAAACTTCAGTACCTGGAAAGATTCTGGAACAAATTCTTAAACAATCAGTTTGCAATCCCCTAGATGATGATAGGACAATAAGAAATACTCAACATGGGTTTGGCAAGAACAAATCCTCCCAGACCAACATAACTACTTTGATAGCGTTACTGGTCTAGTGGATAGCAGGGAAGCAGTAGATATGATACATCTTGATTTTTTTTTTGTAAGGTTTCTGACACCATCCCACGTGACATTTTCATAAGCAAACTAGGGAAATGTGGTTTAGATTAAATTAGTATAAGATGAGTGCACAACTGGTTGAAAGGCTACTCAGAATGGTATCAATGATTCACTGACAAACTAAGAGGGTGTGTCGAGTGGGATCTCAGGGGTCTGTCCTGGTTCTGACACTAGTCACTAGTTTCATTAATGATTTGGTTAATGGAGTGGAAGAGTACGCTTATAAAACTTGCAAATGACACCAAGCTGTGAGAGGTTGCTAGCACATTGGAGGACAGGATCAGAATTTGAAAGGTCTTGGACAAAGTGGAGAATTGGTCTGAATTCAACAAGATGAAATTCAATAAAGATAAGTGCAAAGTACTTCACTTAAAAAGGAAAAATGAAATGCCCAAATACAAAATTGAGAATAACTGGGCAGTATTACTGCTGGAAGGAAGCTGGAGGTTATAGTGGGTCACAAATTTAATATGGGCCAGCAATGTGATATAGTTGCATAAAAAGCTAATATTGTTCTGGGATGTATTAACAGTAGTGTACATAAGATATGGAAGGTAATTGTCCTGCTCTGTGTGGCACCAGTGAGGCCTCAACTGGAATACTGTGTCCAGTTCTGAGCGCCATGCTTTAGGAAGGGTCATGGACAAATTGGAGAGAGTCCAGAGGACAGCAACAAAAATTACAAAGATTTAGAAAATCTGAGCTGTGAGGATAGGTTTAAAAGAAACAAAGCAAGCTGAGTATGTGTAGTATAAAGAAAAAAAGACCAGGGAGCAAATGGGAACCTAAGTCTTCACATATATTAAGGGCTGTTAAAGAGGACTGATCAATTGTTCTCCATGTCTATTGAAGGTAAGACAAGTCGTAATGAGTTTAATCTACAGCAAGGAAGATTAAGGTTAAATATTAGGGAAAACTTTCTAGTAGGCTTCCAAGGGAGATTGTGGGATCACCATCATTGGAGGTTTTTAAGAACTGGTTAGACAAACACCTGTCAAGAATGGTTTAAGTTTACTTGGTCCTGCCTCAGCAAGACCTCTCAGAGTGTCTTCCAGCCCTATTTTTCTCTATCTTAGTTGCCAATGCTGATGTTAAACATAAAATTCTGTTCTGACTACCAGGCTAGTTTGAGATATGGTAGAGTAGAAAATGAGACTGTTCAGACTTTTTTTCGACACTATTCTGGATTTTGCGTAGCTTTTTCTGGAGAGACTGGTAAAGTTGAAGGGACTAACACAGTGAAGATGTTTGTATTTGCATATTAAATTGAAGACTTTTTTGTGTGATGTAGTTGTTTAGGGTCTCATGCAGTACAGTTCAGGGCCCTGGGTAAGTAGTTAGATATTGAAGTAACAAATGATATAGAATGTGATGACATCTTGGTTGGAAACCGCTGGAATTGAGAACACTTTTGGAGGAAGGGTTTTGACTGAGTAAGAATTAAACTGCTTTGTGTGAATGCACATTTTCATAAAACACCTACCAAAAAAAAGCAGATGAGAATAGAGGACTAACACAAAGATACAAAATTCAATTGAGTATGTACAAACTTGTTGTTTTTCATGACTTACTACTTATAGAACTTCATATTCATAATTAAGTTAGGTGGCATTTCAACACATCGGGGAAAAATGAGCAGAAGGATATGTCTTGTAAACTGGCCAGACAACTACTCTGTACTTGATCTCAGTATAATGGCGCACACAGGTGTGTGGTATAGCAAAAGTTGCTTTTCTCTTGGTGTTAGAACAAGATATTTGTCATTTTATTTGAAATTTTTTCAAAACGTGTAGCATGTGTAGTAATACAACTTAATGCGCTTCATCCACAGAATTCAGTGTTTTACAAAGGTAGTGTATGCTGCGTGGCCATCCCTCTGTCAGTCTCTGATGGAGGCCATGCCTCCTCACTGTTGCGTACCTGTAAAGGTGCTCAAAGAGGGGAATTAGATTCACCTAGTGCTCCGATCCTCCAGTTGGGCAGAACAGTACAGCAGTCTTTGAGCCGCAGGCCCAGTCAGGGCTGGGGAGCAAAGCAATGGGTAATCTCTGGTCTGCAATCAGGGCAGAGCAGCTAAGCAGTCTGAGTCCCAGGGTGGTGAGCACCAAGAGAGGCTATGGGGCTCAGGTGGGGGTGAGCACCAAGAGAGGCTATGGGGCTCAGGTGGGGTTGTGTGAGATGCGCAGGCCTCCTGGCATGAGGAGGGAGAGTACTGCCACCCCAGGGATGGGGTGGCAGGGGGGACGCAGGCCTGCCCAACTCTACCACGTCCCAGCCCAGGACCCTAATAGTGGCGGAGTGGTCTGCCACTGGGTCAGCGGGGATCTGCCCACAACACAGTGACTCTGTATCAGGCCAGCTCCCAACCAGACTGTTGCCCGGTTTCTCTGGGCTGCTTCCTACTTTCCCCCTCGGGTGTACTTGCATCTGTCATCTTGGGGAGCTCTGGCCAGTCTGCAGGCGTCAACCCCAGCAGCTCCCCAGCGTCTCGGTCTGCCGGCAGCCCCGGGGAGATCCAGCCAGTCCTCAGGAGGCAGCTCCTCTGCAGGCTCCAGCAGCTGGCGGGATGCGTCTGTCTCTTGTGGTGGCTCCACCACAACTAAGCTGCAGGTACTTCCCTTTCCTATCCCACCCTTCCACTTCCGGCGGAACAGACATGACTCTTCTGGTTCAGCCCACCAGGGAGCATGTTGTAGTCCCTCCCCGTCATTCTCTGAGGGAAGCCACACCACCTTGCTAAAGGTAGATAAATGCTTTTTTCCCTATTTTACAGATAAGGAGACTGAAGCATGTAGTCTCGTCACTTACGGAGCTGGAAATAAAGTACAGATCTCTTGGCTACTACTCTAGTTGCTTTTTAACTCTGTACCTCTTTTGGATCACAGTGCTTCTCATTTCTGTATGCTTCATATATAGTTAAGCAGAGACATGCAGAATCTGAAATGCTGTAATGACTGAGTTCCATCATATGAACAAACAATACTGCACCTAAACTTAAGTTTACTCTGCTGTGGGCCATGTTAGCCACATAATAGTGAAAGTCAAAAATTGAGAAATATTAAGTGGTGTCTGACCAACATACAATATCCACCTCTGAAAACATGAAGGTATGTGAAGTCTGACAGAAAGGGAGTGCTGTAAAGCTGTTTAAGCCTGAACTTTAGGCTTCATTTTAAAGGGACATCAGCTTGAAATCTAGTCTTTCAAAGTTAAAGTTGGTTTCAGGTACTACTCGTCCCTTAGTCCCCTTGTCATTAGTGAATTTTCTATGTATATAAAAAATTACATACAAACTACGTTTAAGGAACATTATTTAGATTGCAAAGTTGAAAATTCAAAAGTTAAGATATGCCAGAGATGCTCTAGGCATCTCAGGTTAGACACCTAAAGTTAATGGACTCTTGACTTCAGTTTCTCTTATTTCCCCATCTGTAAAATAGGGATAAAGCCCCTTCATCACTGGGATGTGAAAATAAATTCTTTAGTGTTTGTAAAGCACTCTTATACTATGACAGGTATGGAAAAGCCCATAAAGAAATAATTCCATATTAAGTGCAGAGTTTGAGTAATGTCTAGTAAAGAAGTATACGGAAAAGCAATATGGAATAGCTGCTCGTTCATTGTGAAGTGTTCATCCTGAGCACAGAACAAGGAAGGGGTTGTGTGGAAAAAAATATTATGTGGTCATGTAAATAAAGACTGTGTCATAATTCATATGCTCGGGGGGGCTGAACTGAGGTTGCAAAGGCATTTCCTGAATTGAGTGCCTAAATTTGCAACCTTAATGTTCTTTTAATGTAGTGGGGGGGGGAGTGTGCGTAATTTCCAAACTTTTAAAAAGGCAAACTGCAAGGTAAATTCTGCTTAGCTCGTGTGGCACTGGACTTCAGCTTGTTCAGTACAGGTGGAATTGTCAAGAAATGCTGCAGCAAAGTTGCAGCAAGTCTCCATTGAGCACATTCAAACTACTGTTTTTAATGGCTTGTAATTTGGCCAAATTTGGGCAGTTTTTCACCGGTATCTTAAAAAAGCACATCTCTGATACACAGGCCAGCCCTCTGCCAAATTTCAAGTTCCTGCTCAAAAGTATGGAGGAACTAGAACTGTTGGATGAAAAAGTTGTAAGGAATTCTTTATCATGGGCAAAACAATGCATGTTTCCTAACCTTGTTCTTGGAAATGGCTAGACCATTTTTGTTGAAAAATTTTCCAAAAAATTCCACCTGAGGCAGGCAGGCAGCATGTAAAATTTCAGCCTCAACAATTAGTTTGGCAAAATTTATAAGCAACTGAAAATAGGATCTTATGGTTTCCTGACATTCCCCACAGTTATAGGTGGTGCTAACAGCTCCCCCTATAATTTTTATCCCCAAATTCATACAGAAACTGAGTACTCAAATTGCTGTCAGCTGCACAAAGTAAACAATTTTTCTTTCAGTTTCAGTAATCTTAAATGTTAACAGTCCAATAGACAGCTTAAAAGTTCAGGTGTTTTTAAAGTTGATAACATCTTTTCAAAATGTTACACAGTGGGGACGATTCCATTGGATGTCTATTCTGAACTTTTTTTCAGGCTAATTTCATGTGACTCAAATGTTTTTTGTTCTTGTATTCCCTGAGCAGCAATAAATGTGTTTAGAAATATTACTGTGACTATCAAATTGCTCTCAAAAATACAAAAAGGACACATTGGCATCTGAGCTTTTAAAGTAGGGGGAAATAAACTTCCAATAGGAATGCTTTTTTTAAAGCACTTCCAAGAGCGTGAGGTTAAATGTACTTTTGTATCAAGCAGTTGCCTAGAGGATGTAATATTTACTTTAAATTTTTGACAAAACTTCTCTTTGTAGGTTTCTCAGGTTGCAGAATATGAAGAGGAGGCATATATAGCATTTGCTATGTTGGATGCAGTTGACGGAAAAACTGAGGATGCTTTGCTAGCACTTGAAGCTATTAAAAACGTTGTTTCATATTGGAATCTTGCACTAGTAAGTGTAACTCTTTTATTTTAATTTTTATGTTCTTAATACTGCATGGTAAAAATCACTACTTTGTTGGCTAGATTTTCCAGAGAAAGGCTGAAGAGATTGAGAATGATGCACTCTCACCACAAGAACAAGAAGAGTGCAAAAGTCACCTGCAAAAGAGCAGAGACTATCTATTAAAGATCATTGATGAAAGTTTTACAGACACTTCAGTAATTGAGAAGGTATGTAATTTGGTTTGCTTTGTAGTTTTACTGATGGAATCCTTTGCATCAGCAGGAAATCTCATCTTTTAAATTATCCTTTCAAAATTTGATAGGGCATTAACACTTTCTTCAGTGAAGTGTTTTGCTTTACAAACCAAATTCAGTGTTCAAGAATGAGCTATGCATTTAAAAGGACTCTGTGTAGTTTGTTCCTAAAATGCAGGCGGCAACAGTTCTTTTCTATTTTGGAAATATTTTGTTATGCACATTTTTTAAAAAGCTTTATTTAAAAAAATTTGTGAATCAATACTGTAGCCAAGATTCTGAAATTGAACGAAAATAAAAGGAACTTTTTATTTTTGGACAAATATTAGGCCAAGGTTAGAATGGAGATTAAATATTTGACTGCATTTAACTCTATATCTTTGACTTAATCCTAATCATTCATTGCTTACAAATACTCAAGTGGGGCTGATGAATCAGGAAAAGACACATTTTATATACTACTTCTGGTTAGACGAGTCTTACTACTGAAGTTCATGCAGAATTATATCATTTCATATTTTTGTCCTATGTATAGTGGTGATGTACATGCAGAGTGGGCATTGAGTTTTGGAAGAGACAATTAGTCATAATATGTCATGTAAACAGTAGTAGTTGACAATGTCAAAAGTCATGGGAAACTGACGAGAAAGATTAGTATATTAAAAGCTAGAAAGTTCAGGTTTTGCATTAGTAAAAATATTGTTTGGAATCTATTTGTTCAGCTAGAGGAATAGTCATCTTGAAATGTGGTATTTTTACATGAAATTCTATTTGCTAATAGTGCTTTATTACTCCAATTGCACTTGAACTCAAAAAGAGAATATATCCCTAAACCTCTTTGTGCACTGCAATTCTCTCCCAGTTACCAGTGTCAATAGAAACTGTTAAGGAGATGCTGGAAACAGTAATTCAAGAACTTGGGGATTATGGTGAAGAAGGAAGTCCTGGTTTCAAGAATGGCCTATCCCGAACTGTAGATTCAGAATTTAAACATTCCACTCCATCACCAACAAAATTTTCTTTATCACCAAGTAAAAGCTACAAGGTATATCAAATAACACACACAATTCTTCTGAAATGTATTGTTTTTAATTAATGTGATAAGATTCAATTATTGTTCTTTCAGTTCTCTCCCAAAACTCCCCCTCGTTGGGCAGAGGATCAGAAATCTTTACTTCAGATGATCTGTCAGCAAGTAGAAGCCATTAAGGTAGGTAAATACTAATTGAGTTAATGTATCAACAAATATGTAGTGATGAGTATTTTTAACACTGTATTGGTACTAAAGTTAACATTAGATTATAAAGCTCAAACCGTTAATTTAAGTTAAACTTCCAGTGTGTGATGAGATTTCCGGTTATATCAATGGAATTAAAGTGATTAAATCTCTGCATAATTTGAAGAGTATGGGTGCAAGTGTCACTGTATAGAAATTTAATTTCAGAATCTATGAAATTAGTGCATAAGCAGATAAGGGTATCCTTCTGTGGGACCATACACTGAGCATGTGAATTCTGTTGATTAGGAGAAGACTCCTGTAGTTTCTATAATAAGACTTCTCTTTTCACACCTCTCAAGCCAAAAATTATAAGAAAAAGATGGCTTTTGCTGAATGGTTGTAGAGGCAGGACAGAAGCACTATGTAAGGTATTAGTTTCAAACGTACTTAACATTGAATGGGGTCACTAGTACTGACATCTAAAAATGGGTTTAAATTGTTCAACCTATTCTCTGTCAGATTGGTTCTTTAATCAGTTTATTTGATATTGCACTTAAGCAGTAAAGTTATGAAAGTCCAGAAGTAAAACAAGAAATTCATTTTTGTTGTCTGAAATATAGTTAATGGTGATTAAATTATCACTGACCTTTCTCCATATTTTAATAATTTTCCTAACTGCACTGCTGCTGGCCTGATAGGGAATGAATAAGAATAATTTTCCGTTTCCTATGTTAGCCTTGTAAAATTATACTTGCCAGGCAAGCAGTTGTTTGTGTGTAAAATATTTAGTTTTCATTATTATCATAAGGAAGCTTTTGGGTCTAGGTTGCTAAACTTTCATTATCCCTTTGCCAAGGCTGATATGTTTAAATTTGAAAGCACAACCTTTTATTTAATTTTTAAAAATTTAAGGTCTGCATCTTTGAGTAGAATCTATTGGTAATGATTTGGAAAGAGCTAGAATCTTTTAATAAGTAAAATACTATATTTGACTGTGTATCCATGTGATCTCACTTGAGTCTAAGTACACATGCAATATTGTAGTCTTTTGAATAGTGGTGTCCATTGGGCTGCCCCAGGGATGTCCTCATGGCCACCACCCGAAGGCAGGCAGAGTGGCTGTAACCATCCTGTTACCACTTACTGCCCATGGCAATGAGACAAAACTAGCAGTGTTCGCCCACTACCGCTTAGTGGAACCTACTCGTACTACGTTAGGGTTAATCCCACTCAAAATATTAGTCAGTAATTTATTTTTATTTTGGTTGTATCAAAACAATTTCCTCCCTGTTTTTTCCCTCCACTACTCCTGCCCCCCCGCCCATTTAATTTCTCCCGTGGTGTACAGCACCTCTATCCACAGAAAAATGATTGAAAGCCCTCGAGCTTGAATTAAACTGTCATAGGATGACAGTTTAATTCCACTCACTGGTCACAACCTGTCTGTTTTTGCCTCTGTGAGAGTCTTGCGCCAGATTGCTGCTCTGTCAGTAATTCTGAACAACAACAAGGAAGTCCAGGGATGCTTATCAGGATCTATGCTTCCTCGAACAATCTGAGGGAAGCAAGAAGAGATTTTAAAAACTGGTCCATGCCCTGCTATGTGTCAGCAAAGAACTTTGCCGTCCACTATGCAACACCTATAGTCCGTACCAGCAAATAATTCTCGGCACCATCAGACAAAGATCTGGCATCAGACCACCTCAGTACCAACTATCACCTCTGCTCCAAAAACTGATACGTCCTCACCATGATAAGGGTGGTCAGGTCATGATTCCCAGCACTGGTCCCTTCCTTCCCATAAGGAGAGGCTAACACTTCACTTTTCAGGGAACAAAACACTAATCCCATAACAGAGGCAAGTGATGCCAGCTCAGTCTGACTCAGCACCAAAGAAGTACAAGCCACATTCTGTTTCACTGACTGAAAATAGCAGTAATCATCAGACACTGGCAAAGACATTGATGCCGGCATCAACATCAGTACCAGTACTGTCATTGTAAGCCCTGCCAGTAACTGCTGATTTTATGTTAAAGGAGGTAACCATGTCACTGGCATATATTTCTGACCTCTTGGTACTAGGGGCACCTTGAGGTTTGGCTCTGCCTCTCAAGGTCTGTTTATCCCATCATTGGGACACACCTGTTCTCTATCCAGTTGGGAGCCACATTTCCTCTCACACAGGTCAGAAGACGCTCTTTATAGACCAGAGACTCACTTTAGAACTCCAGCATATCCACTTCAAACATGGCAGTTGCCTGTTCAGCCCTATCAGAACTGGCCTTACCTCATGTAATGCTCCACCTTGGTGCTACAGAGCATGCTGCGGACCACATTCAGGATCTAATCTTACTCCTATCATTTAAGAAAGCATAAGGAGTCTGGAACTCCTTCTTCGTCTATTGCCAGACCATCATTATTTTTTCCTTCCCCCTGGTCTGCAGAGAGGGGGAAAAAACAAGAGCAGCTGGCAGAGGAGGAATAGGCACTATTGCCAGCAGCACCCTTAGTCTCCCAGGGACTAGTCATCACCCTCCTGGGGAGACCGTCTATCCAGCTCCTCTACCAGCTGCTGATGACTTCAAAGCATTTTGGAAGCAACTTTCCCGCATTGCTCAGACTCTTGAGATAGAAGGAAAAACTCACAAGCTTTTTGATATTCTGCACTCATCTGCTCCAGCTATGATAACTCTGCCAGTTAATGAAGGCATCTTGAATCCAGCCAAGACACGGTGGCTGACGCCAGTTATGCTCCCTTTTGTGGCTAAGAGAGCGGGAAAGAAATATCAACCTCCCTTAGGGGTACCCCAGCAGTTTTTCTTTAATGCACATCCACATCCAACACCAGGTTTCTTCATGGTTTCTATGGTCCACTAAGAGCACCCCAAAAGATAAAAACCCTTAAAAAAAACTAGACTTATTTGGAAGAAAGGGCTATTTATCGATCTCACTGGAGCTTGGAATTGCTAATTATCAGGCTTTATTTGCAAAGTATAATGGTGTTGCTTGGGAGAGGCTATCACCCTTTATAGCTAAACTTCCACAAGACTGCCGAGAAGAGTTGAAAAGCATCATTGTTGAAGGTCAACTAGTAGCTAAAACATTGCAAAAGACCACCATGGATGTATCAGACATGATGACTAAAGCCATGCCTATTGCTGTAACCACACGCAGGGCTTCATGGCTGCAAGCCTCTGGCATGCTGAGAATATTGCAAAGTATTTGAGGGCACAGAATTACTTTGCATTAGCATGGACAACTGACTGTATGCTCTCGAAAGCTTCTAGGGCCATAATTTGTTTTCTGGGCATCTATACATCAGCCCAAAATTGTAAGCCCTTTAGATGTAAGGGCAGTCCAGGCAGACACCTGTCTACCTTCAGTAGTAGTCTTGAGTCCCTGCTGAGGAAACAGCTGAGACTACTGCTTTGGCTGTTGGTCAGTCTGCACGTACTTCCAAGCAACAGGTTTGATGATAGATTCGAGAGCCACACTCTTACACCACTCAAAAGCCTTGCCTAAGTCCCACCTTTTGGATGTTGGCTTGCTTGTTTCCATCAGGCGTGGACTGTGAAAACAGAAAAAAGTTCTGCAAGTTGATTGCCCAGGGCTATTCCATCCAATTTCAGTCCCCCTTCCCTCTCTCTCTTCAGGGACCCTTCTCATAAAAATCAGCCAAAGGAAGAGCTAGTTTATCTACTTTGCGTAGCAGCCATAGAGCAATGCTTCCCAAACAGTGAGCAATGGCTCCTTTGGGGAGCCACAAAGGGTTCATGGGGGAGCCACAAGTGTTTTTGGGGAAAAATCAATATGCCTGTTCTTTAATTGTGTGGGGGTTTTTTTTGGTGTGGTTTTTTTTTAAACTGAGGGTATTTAATCTAGGCTTAAAAACCACCTGCACTTTATCTGTGAGTCTGTCTTAGGCTGCTATTGCTGCTGGGGTTGGGAGCTTCTCTATGCCCTCTGCTCTTGCAAGGGGCCTTCAGCAGAGAGACTTCCTACTGAGGTAAGAATTCAGCAGGAAGAGTCTTGGCTGAAAGCACCCTGCTGGAGTGAAGGGCAAAGAGAGAGGATCTCAGTGCTGGCAGCAGCAGCAGGTAGGGGAAGGAAGGGACTCTGAGGGAGAGACAGATGCCTCTTACCTTTATAGTGGAACAATTTTTGCGATGTGTTAACCTTACATGTAGCAAACGTTTGACTGAAGAAGATTATTTTAATAATTTTAAATGTAAAAGGAGGAAAGTAGATATAATACTTACAGTGCTTGAATTTTTATGTCTTGATGCTAGTGTGGAAAGTCCATAGCATATTATTAGTTTTCTGGTCTTCGTAGATGAAAGCCTGAGACCAGGGAAACTACAGACATTTAGAAACCAAAGACTGAATTCATAAACGAGCAACAATTTTTTTTCTTTCAGAAACAAGAATTAGTGTCAGAAAAGTCATTTGTAAAAAAAATTATTCCTCAGAAAGCCTTAGATGCATCTTTTATTGTAGCCATGCAAATTGCAAACAAGCATACACCATCGGTGAGCCCCCATATTGAAAATATTCAGCTATATTCTGTATCTGGACTCTTGATTCCATGAAAATCCACCTTAAAGCAGCTTCCACAGGGCATCTGTCCATTCAGGTTTTTTTTGACCCCATGGTATCCAGATTTCTAAAGGGATTACCTCTGACATGGGATCTCAACATTGTCCTTATGATCCTTGCGAGCTCTCCTTTTGGCCTTTTCCTGAATGCTCTTCACACTTCCTTTTGCTCAAGCTGTTTTTAATCTGCCAGAGGGGCCAGCAAACTACATGCTCTCATGGCTGACCCTCTTTACAAAACATTCCATGGGGATAAGGTGGTATTGAGACCCTATACCAAACTTATTCCCTGTGTAGTGTTAGACTTTGGTTTGAATCAGTCTGTCATTTAACCTGTTTTTCTCACCAAAACACCGTTCCTCCTCCTAGAAAGAAGCTCCCTTTTAAAGGGCTTTTGTTATAATAGGAGAGTCTTTCAGACTTTTTATTGCCATCTCTGGTGCTTCTAGTGGTCCCAGAGAATGTCAAATGATTATGTAGTGTGTATATAATAAACCTGTTCCTCCAAATGTTAAAATACATTCCACTGGACTAAAGCACAGGGTCTAGTCCTTTGCACACTTCTGGAACATTCCCAAATCTGAAACTTGCCAGGCAGCTATATAGAGTACTTTCTTTACTTTCATTAAACATTGTCCTTGGCCTAACTGCAAGAACAGATGCCAGATTTGGTAGGGCAGTGTTAGTCATTGTTTGGCTAAAGTGGGAGCCACATGGATGACAACATCATTACTATAAGGCAAATAGAAGTTATTCTGCAATATTAGTAAATTTTCTGTGTTGGAGAGCATATTATTGGCTCCCTGTCTTTGCATCACTTCAAGATTAAAAATAATTAACTCAGCTAGTATATAACTTAAAAATATTTCAGTGTACCTGAGCATCCTCTACCAATATTTGCTAAAAAAATCAAGGGCAAGGGCAGATATCCAAGTAAAAGTTCATCCTTTAGCTCCTCTCTAAGGATGACTTTAGACAAAAGATTTGTCTCTAGCTGTTCTTGTTTCAGAACTGTTCTTTTTAGTCTACTAATGTGTTTCTTCCTGTGACTGGAAGATTTAGATATTTATATAATGTTGAATATGGCACTTGGAGTGTATTCAATTCATTTTTTGCTAGTACTTGACTTTTTTTTTTACCTATGTATTTGGTTTTGTGTACTGGCTTAGTAGTAGACTATGTTAATTCATACAAAGAAACCTCTTCAGTGTAAATTGCTGTATATGATAAACAAAAACAGCTATAGTAATCTCTTCCTTCCAAACTGAGGCTTGGGTGTCAAGGGTAAAAGTCAGCGTTTGGTAAACACCAAAGTAAAACTGAGAATTTTTAAGGCTTTGCATAGATAGTATTAACCTCAAAATAAACATCTGTTTTAATGTTCAACTACACCTGTCTTTTTAATTTTAATGTAAACTATATAAATACTGTCTCCTGATAGAATGAGATGCATGAAATGAAACTCAATAATTCCAACTCAAACTTGTCATCTCATCGGTGGCCTGCTGAAGGCTATGGCACAGATACAATGTCAGATGGCTATCAGGGAACACAAAACTTTCATGGAGCTCCACTAACAGGTAAACTGGTGTTGAGAGTTTAATTAGTTACTGTATCTTGTTTTTCAGAAGACCTTGGTCAGCCTCTAAAATTGCTATAAATTAGGCATTTAAGGTTTAAACACTGCAAATGAGCTTAAAAATACCTTTCTGTTGAAAAGTATTACCTTTTGAAGATGGTTCTCTTTTGGGTAATGGCAAAATAGAATTACACTCTTGTGTTTCTCTTTTAGTTGCTACCACTGGCCCATCAGTCTACTACAGTCAGTCGCCTGCATATAACTCTCAGTATCTTCTCAGAACAGCTGCTACCAATGTAACACCAACAAAGGTGAGGAGAGATCTGTTAATTTACTGCTTTGAACTACAGTCTTTATCAATTTTCAATTTCTATATGTGAAACTGATTCTTCCAATGAAGACTTTTAGGGATAACTTTGTGTGATATTCACACTTATGTGGATTATGCTCAATGCCCAAATGTGGATGACCTACTGAGTGAGTCCTCTCAAATTCTCGTGGTCCGGGAGGGGGTGAACCGTCAAGAGCAATCTCTTGCATTCGTATTTGAAGTATATATGCTCACTATGATATCTTCTACTGAGAAAATCTTTGACAATACCTAAGATCTATTTCTCTGTAGGATGGGAAGAAGTTTTGGGAGTAGTAGGAAGGAATAGAGAATAAACAAGCAGTATCTTCTCAAGCAGCTAGGTGTTTTTATAAAAAGCAAATCTTTGTAACTGTTCTGCTTCACTTAATATTAAGGTCTATACATTTTAAAGATAAAAACAAAAACATCAACAAACTTTTCAGGGCAGGGATTGCCTTATGTTTGTACAGGCACTACCATAGTACAAATAGAAAATAATAATCTTTCTTTTTTTAGGCTCCAGTCTATGGCATGAACAGGCTTACACCTCAACAACATATATATGCTTATCAACAGCCAATGCATACACCACCACTACAGAACACCTCTGCCTGCATATTTTCCCAAGAAATGTATGGCGCTTCTTTGCGTTTTGATTCTCCTGCTACTGGACTTCTGTCTCCACGTGGTGGTGATGAGTATTATAATTACAGTGTTCCACAAGCAAGCACAAATCCACCATTGCCTGAGCCAGGCTATTTCACAAAACCTTCAGTTGGTCCTCTGATTCCAAAGTCTGCAGAATCAAAGGTGATAGAATTTGGGAAATCAACCTTTGGGCAGCCTGTTCCAGCAGAAGGAACAAAATCCTCTTTCACAACACCTGCACAATCAACTCAACCAACCACTTTTAAATTTAACTCTAATTTCAAATCTAATGATGGAGACTTTACATTTTCATCACCTCAGATTGTAGGCCAGCCCCCCAGTGCAGCTTTTAATAGCAGTGAAAGCCTCTTGGGTCTTCTGACATCGGATAAACCTTTACAAGATGATCGATACATGGGGCAAAGAACAGTTCATGATCATACAACTGGCCAAAGAAATGCCTTCAGTTTTGGTAACAAAAATATTTCAGGCATTTCATTTACAGAAAATATGGGACAAAACCAACCTAAAACTTCAGGTTTTGGCAAGGGTGACATATTCAATTTCCAAGATCCTGGAAAACCAGTGTTTGGAACCCCAAGTTCAGATCTGGCCAATAGAAGTCATGAAACTGAGGGAGGAAGCATCCATGGTGCTGATGATGATGATGATGGTCCACACTTTGAGCCTGTAGTGCCACTCCCTGACAAGGTTGAAGTAAAGACAGGTGAGGAAGATGAAGAGGAATTCTTTTGCAACAGAGCAAAGCTATTCCGTTTTGACACAGAATCTAAAGAATGGAAAGAAAGGGGCATTGGAAATGTGAAAATACTAAGGCATAAAATATCTGGGAAGATTCGGCTGCTCATGAGGCGGGAGCAAATATTGAAAATCTGTGCAAATCACTATATAAATACAGATATGAAACTGCAACTAAACGCAGGTTCAGACAAATCATTTGTATGGCATGCTTTAGATTATGCAGATGAGTTTCCAAAACCTGAGCAGCTTGCCATTAGATTCAAAACACCTGAGGAAGCAATGCTTTTCAAGCATAAGTTTGAAGAGGTGCAGAATATTTTGAGAACCTCGGGATCAAATGTTGGTACACCAGCCATTCAGAGTGTTGGGATTACAAGAGAAATAGCAAATCAGAATAGCAAGGAGCCTTGCAAAACTACTCCTGGAACCCTGAATTTTGGATTTCAGTTTAAGAAAGAGGAGATGTGGCAGTGTAATGTCTGCTCAGTGAAAAACAGTTTAACTACTTCCCATTGTAGTGCTTGCCAGGCTCCAATCCAAAATACAAGCAGTTCTGTAAAGGGACCTGATGGCAAAAGCAGTTTTACAGTTACATCAGCTACATCTACACCAATATCCTTTTCTTTTGGTAGGGAAATCCCATCCACATGTACTACTAGTGGATCTGGGGAACAGTTTATGTTGAAGGAAGATCAGTGGGCTTGTAATGTGCATCTGGTTCGAAATGAAGCTACTGATAAGAACTGCTCAGCGTGCCAAAGTCTGAATCCAAGAAACAAGGAAATGCATGTTGTACCATTACCTGAAACTTCTGCAGCTTTCAAACCCAACACTGATACCACACACGATAAATTTGGGTCAGTTTTTGCTAAAAAAGAAGGTCACTGGGATTGCAATGTTTGCTTCGTAAGAAACGAGCCCACTACATCTAAATGTGTTGCCTGCCAGAATCCAAATAGAACTAACATGCCAGTATTTGGTCAGCAAGCTTCATTTAAAAGTGGCCAAGGAGATGTTCCAAAGACTACACACAATGATTTTGGAGCTGCATTCTCTAAAAAAGAAGGTCAGTGGGATTGCAGTGTGTGCCTAGTCAGAAATGAAGCAAGAGCTGTAAATTGTGTTGCTTGTCAGAATCCCAATTCACCAAATCAGCCTAATGTGTCTACATCTACTATTCAAGCATCTCCTACTCCTGGAGTTGGTTCTACCGCTGATGCAAGTAAACCCCAGAAAAGTGGATTTGAGGGACTCTTCGCTAGAAAGGAAGGGCAATGGGATTGCAATGTTTGCTTGGTACGAAATGAAGGCTCTTCAGTAACCTGCGCAGCTTGTCAAGCACCAAATCCAAGTAATAAGCCTGTTGCTGACGCCCCATCAACTCTTACATTTGCCCTTAAAAGCAAATTCTCTGAACCTGCTGGAGGACAACTGGGAACAGGTTTTAAGTGTGACCTTTCTGAAAAAGGTTTTAAATTTGGCCATGCAGAACAAGGAAAAGCACCTTCTTCCTTCAACTTTCAGATTCCTTCAGATACTGAAGTTAAATCTGGAAAAGAAGGATTTAGCTTTTCAATGCCTGTGCCCACAGGTGGATTTAAATTTGGCATACAGGAGCCTAGTAAAAATATCACAAAGGATGAGCCACCCAAAGAAAGTACCAATGGCTTCTTAAACAGTGGTGATGAAAAAGAGAAAAAGGAGACTCCCTCAAAGGGTGTAACTGGTATCCAGTCTCATAATGTCTCAAACAAACAGAACAGTGATTTAGTATTTGGCCAGAATAGCAGCACTTTCACTTTTGCTGACCTTGCAAAAACTACTTCTGGAGAAGAATGTCAGTTTGGTGTAAAAGATCCAAACTTCAAGGGTTTTTCAGGTGCAGGTGAAAAGTTATTTTCCTCACAGAGTTCTAAAATGGCTCACAAGGCTAATACTTCTGTTGATCTTGAGAAGGAGGATGATGCATATAAGACAGAGGACAATGATGATATCCATTTTGAACCTGTAGTCCAGATGCCTGAAAAAGTGGAATTAGTGACAGGGGAAGAGGATGAGACTGTGCTCTATTCACAAAGAATAAAACTCTTTAGGTTTGATCCAGAAACAAGTCAGTGGAAAGAACGTGGTGTTGGCAACTTGAAAATTCTTAAAAATGAAGTTAATGGCAAACTAAGAATGCTAATGCGACGTGAACAGGTACTGAAAGTATGTGCAAACCACTGGATAACAACTACCATGAACTTGAAATCTCTGTCTGGTTCAGACAAAGCATGGATGTGGCTAGCCAGTGACTTTTCTGATGGAGATGCAAAATTGGAGCAGCTGGCAGCTAAATTCAAGACGACAGAGCAGGCTGAGGAATTCAAACAGAAGTTTGAAGAGTGTCAGAGGCTGCTGTTGGATATTCCACTGCAGACCCCACATAAACTTGTGGATACTGGTAGAACAGCTCAACTCATACAGAAAGCAGAAGAAATGAAGAGTGGGTTGAAAGATCTCAAAACCTTCTTGACAGATGATAAAACTAAATTGACAGAAGAAGAGAATAAAAACTCAGCTTCAGCCTGTAGTACTTCTGATTTAATTATAAAGCCACATGCTGAAAGCACTGGGCCTACTCTGGAGTGGGATAACTATGATTTACGTGAAGAAGCATTGGATGATAGTGTAAGTAGCTCTGTGTATGCCTCACCTCTGGCAAGTAGCCCTGTGAGAAAAAACCTATTTAGATTTGGGGAATCTACAACAGGATTTAATTTTAGTTTCAAATCTGCCTTGAGCCCATCCAAGTCTCCTGCCAAACAGAATCAGAGCAGGTTGTCTGTAGGAACAGATGAAGAGTCTGATCTTACTCAGGAAGAAGAAAGAGATGGACAGTACTTTGAACCTGTGGTACCTTTACCTGACCTTGTAGAAGTGGCAAGTGGTGAAGAAAATGAGCAAGTTGTCTTCAGTCATAGAGCTAAACTCTACAGATATGATAAAGATGCCAATCAATGGAAAGAAAGAGGTATTGGGGATATAAAGATCTTGCAGAATTATGACAACAAACAAGTTCGTATTGTAATGAGACGAGACCAGGTATTAAAACTCTGTGCCAATCATAGAATAACACCAGACATGAACATGCAACAGATGAAAGGAACTGAAAGAGCCTGGGTATGGACTGCATGTGACTTTGCAGATGGGGAAAGAAAAGTAGAGCTCTTAGCTGTGCGATTTAAACTACAGGATGTTGCAGAGTCATTTAAGCAAATTTTTGATGAAGCAAAACATGCCCAAGAAAAAGACACCTTGATTACACCTCTCTCTTCACGTGCCAGTACACCAAGAGAGTCTCCATGTGGCAGAATTGCTGTAGCTGTACTGGAGGAGACCACCAGGGAGAGAACTGATCTGAACCAGGATGGTGATACCTCTGATGTGACTGTAGAGGTTTCAGAGATGTCAAGCACTTCTGAAACACCAACGAAAACAGTGGTTTCTCCTCCAAAGTTTGTATTCGGTTCAGAATCGGTCAAAAGCATTTTCAGTAGTGAAAAATCAAAGCCATTCACATTTGGAAATACTTCAGCTACAGGATCTCTATTCGGTTTCAGCTTTACCTCTCCTTCAAAAAGTAAAAGTGAAGAGGATAGTTCAGTGTCTCAAAACATAATGCAAAGAGAACTACAGCTCACAGTAACTGAGCCTCAGGAAAGCTACACTCCCAATCAGAAGCCTACAGACAGCCAGGGAGAAAATTACTTGGTTACATCAGCAGCAGGATCCTCTAATTACACATTTAAAACACTAGAAAAAGGTAAGCGTTGCCCGAATTGGCAACTATTTATACTAAGAAGAAGTTTTACTTTGAGAAGATTATTGAAAAATTTGTCATGGAAAGCAGTTAGTGGCTTTTTGTTGCAATGAAAATACTGTAAATTGTGTCCCTGGAATAAGAGTAAAGTGTTCTCTTCAGTAGTTGAATGCAAACTTCATGTTTCTTGCAAATACCTCTTTAGCTTAATCTTATGGTTTTGTCCTTCACTTACAATTGTTCTTTTTGTGCATGGTGAGGGGGCAGGGGATGTCTGAACTTTTATGCTAGGTCAGCATAACTCTGCCCATATCTAGGAATTCAGACGAGCTAGTAATTACCTATGCACTTGGGCCAAAATTTTCAAATGTAGTTGCCTAAAGTTTGGAACCGGAATCCATAAGTTGGACTTGTACCTAAGTAGGTAGTCTTGTCAGCACTTAGAATCATAGAATATCAGGGTCCAACCTAAACCTCCCCCACTGCAACTTGAGACTATTACTCCTTGTTGTGTCATCACTTCTGAAATTATGGCATTTATTTTGGTACTTAAATACAGATGCAGGGACCTGTCTTTAGACAATGATGTTTGAAAACTTTGGCTTCCATTTCTTTATGGAGAGGCACAGTGGTTTAGCTGAAACCTGCCATAACATAAGAACTTGAGTGCTGCTGATGTATTTTGATTAGGTGGTATTCGTAGAATGGTGTAAACTAGATTTTTCGTCTTACTGTTTTTTCTTATCTGATTCCTAAATTTTTCAGCAGCAGAGTGAAATATTTGTCAGGGAAATATCCTGCTTGAAGACAATTGTATGGTATATGAAATTTGACTCCAGTCTCTTGTGATCAAAGTGCAGCCCACAGCCACTCACTTCAGAGGTCTGGTTTGAAGAGGCTGCACAAATCCTGGTATTGCTCTGTTGTCTTAGCAGACAGAATAAATTATATAACTTTGATTTATTTGTATCTTCTGCTGGGCAAGCTCTTGGGCTTCACCTTTAAATAGCCATCTACAACTTTACAGTAGAAACTGAATATTTCATTGCATTATATAGCTAGTAATGTTTAATGTATTAGGACCCTATCAAATTCATGGTCCATTTTGGTCAATTTCACAGTCATCAGATTTTAAAAATAATAAATTTCATGATTTCAGCTATTTAAATCTGAAATTGCAATGTTCTAATTGTAGGGATCCTGACCCAAACAGGAGTTGTGGAGTGGTTGCAAGGTTATTGTTGGAGGGAGGTGGGGGGTTGCGGTACTGCTACCCTAGCTACTGCTGGCAACAGTGCTGCCTTCAGAGGTGGGCAACTGGAGAGCAGTGGCTGCTGGTCAGGAGCCCAGCTCTGAAGGCAGATCCGTCGTCAGCAGCAGAACAGAAGTGAGGGAGGCATGGTATGGTATTGCCACCATACCATGCCTCCCTCACTTCTGTTCTATGCCGCTGCTGGCTGCCCAGTTCTGAAGGCAGCACAGAAGTAAGGGTGGCAATACCATGACCCCCCTAAAATAACCTTGTGATCTCCCTGCAACTCCCTTTTGGGTCAGGACCCCCAATTTGAGAAAAACTGGTCTCCCCTGTGAAATCTGTATAGCGTGGAGTAAAAGCACACAAGACCAGATTTCATGGTCCGTGATTCATTTTTCATGGCCATGAATTTGGTAGGGCCCAAAATATTATATGAATCATATGATTGTATTGGCATTTAAAAGTTGGGGGGGGAGGGGAAGAGCAGTCAAATCAATTTGTTAAATAGAAATACTTTGACTAAATTGCAGTAAAAAATGGACAATGCAGAATTTTGGACTAAAAGTGGATTTCAGAATTATGACAAGTTTGCTGATCTATGTAGTAAAGTATCCTGGTAGGAAAAACTTGATAGCTGCTGCTTGTTTACATCTGTTGAGTAATTGATAAACAGGTACAGCAGGCAATGCAAATATTCATTAGCTGATTGTGATCTCTAGATACTGGAGATATACACTTAAGAACTTAGATATGTTTGTGCCCCTCTAAAAATCCAAATAAACACTTAAACCCACATAATTTATTTTCTAGGATTTAATTTTAGTCTTTTTAAATCTAATCCAATGGCCTTTTGGACCAGCACACCTTCCTTCCAACCCGATAGTAAAGGTATTTACACACTGCACTGAATGTGTGATGAAATCACTCTTTAGCTGGTACTGACAATTGCCCAGTTGTGGCAAAGCAGTTGGCTATATAATGGTATGAAAATTTACACAAATTTAATATGCATGCTGAAGAGCAGTAGTTAGAATTAGTGTGTTTTTGACTTTGTACCTGTCATAGCAAAAGAATGTCTCCCTACCCTCTGTTAGTTTAGGTTTTTTTAATTCACACAAGTGGTGGTCTTGGAGTGCTCTACTTCATAGACTTTTGGCTTTTGTATTGCTTCAAATTTACCATGGGAACTCCAGATCTGCTTGCTAAAATCTTCCCTAGGAAGATAAGATGTATGAGAAATTTCACGGAGTATGCTCAGGATGATGTTGAAATTCCTCATGAAGAGGGTTCCAAACTGGCTCAGTTCCATTCCCAGTGTCTAGCCAGTAAGAACTGTATATCCTTAAAAATAAGCATCTGTGAAATAGGAGGCAGAGTCAGATCTCCTGAACTCTTGAGTTTTTCCAGCTAGTGTCTGAATTGAATCCACCTGTTTGCCACTGGAAGTGTTCCAAAGTTCACTCACTGGTCGCCTAGTTGTTTACTTCTGGCCCTTTTCATAATTAAGTCACATTCTGAGGCTGGGAGTCCAGTGCTCTCTACTCACCCAGTGTGTGGCTGCGTAAGGAGTTGCTCTGCACCTAACTTCTTTTAAAAAATAGACTTTTGTTGTGTGGCTGACTACTTGCTGAATAAACCAGGTTGGTGAGAACTTTTGGAATCTTTATTTTTTTTCCTTTAAAATAATATAACTATAGATAAGCTGTATACATTGTCCAATGTTTTTTTAAAAAAATACAAAGATACACCGAGAATATCTTATACTTGAGTGCTGCAACAGTCCTCAGTACTAAATATGTATAACCAGATCTTACAACAGATGCATGGTATAACCTAAATACTGGCAGTTCTACCTAGATTAAGTAAAACTTGGTCAAATGTTGTCTCCTTAAAACAAATGCTTCTCACTGTTCTAACACTATTAGTTCCTATAGCATCCAAAAAGTGTTTTCCATCATTATAATCTGAAAAGGTATATTACATGCTTCCATCAATACTAACTCTTTATTTATTAAAAGAACAATATTGCTACTTCTAAATTTAAAACCTTCAGTTAGTCTCATTTGTTGTTTGTGAGGTAAAGTAAATATTCTTGATTCTTTTCCCCCGGCTAAATTTGTTCTTTGTTATCTTAGGGCTTGACACTTGCAAGTTAGAGCGCATTAAAGCAGCCCCAGGCGCCCTAACTCATGACCCATCCACGCTGGCAAGGCACGTAGAGTGCCTGGATTCTGTAGCTGGAGCGCTCCTGGTAATCCACCTCCACCAGAAGCATAACGCTTGGTGTGTCTCAGCTGAAACGCTGCAGTGTCAGTGTGAACGAGGTGTTGCATTACTGCACTTTGATCGGCCTCCATAAACGTCCCATAATCCTCTTAAATCAGGTGGCCACTCTTTTCATTGTTTTGAACTGGCTTTAGGAATGCGGATATGCCCTTTCAAAGCTCTGTTTCTGACAGCCGGCATGCTTGTCTGCTCCTGGACAAAGTAAGCCATTAGTGTGGAATGCTGTGTGGGGGGGGGGGGGGTCTGCTGCTGTCTGAACTTAAGATAGCATGCTGGCATGCTCTCAGCCCCCCAAAAACCGTCTCTCCCCCCCCATACACACAACACACTCCCTGTCACACTCTACTCCACCCCCCCCCCCATTTGAAAAGCACGTTATAGCCACTTGCATGCTGGGATAGCTACCACAGTGCACTGCCTCTCTGTGGCATTGCAAGAGCTGCTAATGTGGCCACTCCAGTGCGCTTGCAGCTATCGGTGTGGACAGACTGCAGCACTTCCCCAATTGCACTCTCCGAAGGTTGGTTTAACTCAAAGCGCTCTACATCTTCAAATGTAGCTATGCCCTTAGTCGTCTTCCTTTACAGAGGAAAAAGTGATGAATATATAGTGCAGTTGATATTTTAAAATGGTGAGTACCCATAACTTGATATGATTAGTTTGTAAAAGAGGAAAAACTAAAATAGTAAACACTTTCTGATCTCACATTCACTGGATTAAGTTGCACAAAATATTCCCTGATCTTAAAATGAAGCTTCTACCTCAAAATTTACTTTTGTGGTGCTCCATTAAGGTGAATTGTTACATGGAAAACACAAAGAATCCATATTTTTTTTTGAAAGTTTCAAACTGTTCTTAACTTCCACAGGTAGAGACTATAACACTCTACAAGATCTAGTTCAATAGGTTCTTCTGCATTACAGACCTTGGAAATATGGTGTGAATTTTATTCTTTTTAAAAAATTGATATGAAAAAATATCAAAATCCTCATTTGACTACAGCTGAGTCTTCAGATGTACTGATCTGATGTGAGGGGGAGGGAATTAATAGAGGACATGCCTGAAATCTGCCTTTCAAATTCAACCCATTAAAAATGTAGTCAAGGATTACTGATAGTGATATTCCCTTTTAAGAATCAAGGTAGAAACTCAAGCTCTTTCCTTCCAGCCTTGGAAAAAGGCAACTCTCTAGAAAAAATTAACTGTTAACAGAACATAGTAGTTCTAACCCCTCTGCCAAAATGATCACCCTTAGAGCGAAGCAAAGATGTTTGTTAATATAAGCCATCCAGAAACCAGCCTCTGAGTCTTTCAGTAACGTGTCCTAATGATATCAAAGTATTTACAGAGAACTCAATTAATCTTTAGGTCTACAAAATCTTCAATATCATTAAAAAATCAGTTCATAGCTATCAAACACTAGCAGTCCAGACTCCAATATTTAGTTCTACCTATTCTTGACATCAGTAAGTTAAAAGAAAAGCAAAATGCTAGGACAGCAGTAGAGAGCTGCTTTGGATGAATAATGCCTCTTTTCTAATGTTATAAAATGAACACTATTGATGGATCATAATTATTTTTCTTGTATCTGCTCAGGCTTCAGAATCTAATTTTGGTTTTGTGGTAGTTAAACTGTGGCATATAACATTTCTCATAGCTGTTTTAAATTGCTCAGCTATGTCCATTCATATAATGGGAAATTCAGATTTTGGAATGTTAATAGCAAAACATGAAACAAGGACAAACTGACTCTTCTAAACAACCACATCTGGCTAAATTTTGTCAGTTGTCTGCAATACGTGTTTTGTAACTGTCTTCTGAACTATGCATTTTGTGAAGTGGGAGTTGGAATACTAGGATGTTGCAATGATGCCAAGCAAATATTGGACTCCTTGGATGATTTTGGCCACAATCTTGCTTAATCTGAACAGACTTTTCTTTTTAGTACACTACTGTGTACCTTGAACTTATTTCATTACTTGTTTTATTGCATGGAAGTAATGTATGTTTTCTGCATGTTGGATTTAATGAAGGTTTACTGGAAGCTTGGTGCTCACGAAAGATGCTGGATTGGCAACACTGGAACTAAAATCCTATAGCTAGCCATAGAATGGGTGTTGCATGGCCAGTAGCAGCATGAGCTTTCCTACTCTTCCTCAGCTTTGTTCTTGACGACACACCTCTAAGGTTATATGTACCAAATTCTTCATTCTCTTTTGAGAGTTAATCTCACTATAACCCTACAACAAACCATGTTTTTAACCAGATATGACTGATGAGCGCTTGTGCTGAAGCATCCTGAGGTGGGCTTGCTCAGAGTAAACTTTCATGTCAAGTAGGAAACTTGGTGTATCTCTATTTGAGTAGTTGGAGCATGGACTAAAAAGTAGGATGTTTCTGGTACTTGGATCTCTTAACTGCTATGGTTTTAAACCCAGCCTTGATCAGTTCTTGAACTAGTTACTCTTTTGAGGGAGGGAATCTTCAAAAGATGTGCTATGCAAGCTGTTCTCCTTTTTTAGAACACATAAAGCACATGGAAACTTTGTCTAGCAGCAGCTACTCTTTAGGTTTCATCTGCACTGCTCTTTGGAAGTTGTGTTAAACTAGTGCTAATACTATAGTGGAAGTAGAGTAAGATCTGGACAAACAGAGTAATTCCGGGGGTGCCCAAGTTTCAGTGATGAGCAGTGACTGTTGCAGTTAAGGATTGAGATGTCATCTCTGTAACATCTAAAAGCCTGAAAGGATATACACCTCTATCCCAATATAACACCACCCGACCCGATATAACGCGGGTTTGCATACAACGCTGTAAAGCTGACACGCTGCTCTGAGCAGTGTGTTAAGGGTGCCGGGCCGGGCCCGAAGGGTTGGATATGGGGCAGAGGGTCTCGGGGGCGATCGGGGCTCCCACCCTCCAGGTTCTGGGAGGCAGGAGCTGTAGGGAGCCCTGCAGTCCCAGAGTGGCCCATGGGATCAGCGGGGGGCTGGGAGCAGCCCGCTCCGCTTCCCTCGACCCAGACCCCACTATGTCGCTCAGGGGAGGGGGCTTAGAGGAAGAGATCCCCCCGCACTCACCCGCAGCGGTGGAAGCGGAGCAGCCCAGCCTCAGCCCGCTCCACTCCGCCAGCTCCCAGCCGCGGTGCTCCACTTCCCACCACAGGTGAGTGCAGGACCTTTCTCTCTCTCTCACACACACTCTCTCACCCCAACATGGCTGGGGCCAAGTCAGGCCGTGTCGCTCCATGTCCCGCCGCAGGTGAGTGCGGGACCTTTCCCCAACACACGCGCACGCACACAGCGACATGGCTGGGGCCGAGGCAAGGAAAGCGGAGATGTCTCAGGCCGCGTCGCTCCACTTCCCACCGCCAGTGAGTGCAAAGGGTGTCCTTTCCCCAACCTCCCCGCACTCACTGGCAGCAGGAAGCGGAGCAGCCTGGCCCCTGCCCGCTCCACTCCGCCAGCTCCCAGCCATGGCGCTCTGCTTCCCGCTGCCGGTGAGTATGGGGGGCATCCTTTCCCCAACCTCCCCACACTCACTGGCAGCGAGAAGCGGAGCAATGTGGCTGGGAGCTGGCGGAGTGGAGCAGGCTGGGGCCGTGTTGCTCTGCTTCCCACCGCTGCCGGTGAGTGCCTGTTGGGTCGGGGGGTGTGGATAGGGGTCGGAGTAGTCGGGGGACAGGGAGCGGGGGGGGTTGAATAGGGCGTGGGGTCCTGGGGGTGAGTAGGGACCGGGGGGTCTCGGAACAAGGAATGGGGGGGCTCAAGCTACACTTGCAAAAGTGTAAGAGAATAGTAGATAACAAAACTTGGCATGCAGTTTAGTTCTGTCTCTACATTGCATCTTTAAAAGTGGATTTTAATAAAATTATGCTCCATTGCTCAAATTCATAGTACTCAGTATGTCAAAAGTACCTTCACTTTACTATTTAAATAGCTTTCTAAATTTAAAAATTAAAATGCATGCAGCAGTTGGGTCCAACTTCAGTTGTGTGATGAAAATAAACAGAAGTAAGGACCATGAAGACTGAAGCATGCTTTATGTAGGGTTGCCAGGTGTCTGATTTTCAGCTGGAACGCCCGCTCGAAAAGGGACCTTGGCGGCTCTGGTCAGCACTGCAGACAGGGCTGTTAAGTCTGGTTGGCAGCACAGGCAGACTCCCTACCCAGCTCTGTGCGGCTGCCGGCATGTTGGGCACCTAAGCATAGGGGCAGCCATGGTGGGCTCCGCGCACTGTCCCCGCAGCTCCCATTGGCCTAGCCATGCCTCCATCTAGGAGTCAGAGGGAGCTTCTGGGGAGCCATCCAAGTTAAGTGCCCTGAGCTCCCTCCTGCACCCCAGCCCTGAGCCCCCTCCCGCATCCAAACTCCCTCCCGGAGCCCGCACCCCAACCGTCTGCCTCAGCTCTGAGCCCTCTCCCACACCTAAACTCTCTCCTGGAGCCTGCATCCCCTACCACACCTCAACCCCAGTCCGGAGCCGCCTCCTGCACTCCGAACCACCCAGCCCAGAGCCTGCACCCCCAGCTAGAGCCTTTACTCCCTCCCAGCCCTGAGCCCCTTATGCACTCCAAACCCTTCGGGCCCAGCCTGGAGCCCCATCCTGAACTCCAAACTCTACATCCAGACCCAAAGCTCACACCTGCAGCCCAGAGCCTATACCTCCTCCCACACCTCCAGCCTAGAGCCCCCTCCTGCATCCCAGAGCCTGCACCCCCAACCAAACCCCTCACCCCATCCTGCACCCCAGCCCAGTGAAAATGAGCTGGTGGGGGAGAGCGAGGGAGGGGAGATAAAGTGAGCGGGGGTGGGGCCTTGAAGAATGGGCGGGTGGTGGTGCAAAGATGTTTGTTTTTTTGCTGTTAGAAAGTTGGCAGCTCTAGCTTTATGCCTAGTGAAAAGCATGGTGTGACACCTAAAGTATGTACTATTGTGTGTTGATGTTGGAAGGACACATTTCTTCATACTAAATCCCTTTCTCTTAGTGTTCTGTCATAATTTTGATGCTTAGTTTCTTGTGTCTATATATATTTGCAGCTTACATGTTTTGTCTAATTTTGTCTTCAGAATGACTTTAGCTGTAGAGGTTATTTTCAGATTTGTTCTCAAGCATCTTCATTTTGGTCCTGTTAATCTTTTTGGTTTTTGTAACAGTTGAGAGGAAAAAGGAAACTGATGCAGAACTTCCCTCTGATGTACTCATTGTTTATGAGCTAACACCTACCCCTGGACAAAGAGCTCTTGCTGACTCTCTTAAACTACCTTCAACATTCTTCTGCTACAAGAATAAGCCTGGCTACTTAAGTGAAGAGGATGATGGTAAGGAGCTGGAAATTTGTTCATCCACTCTGGGTTAACTGGAGCAACAGTAGTGTGGTGGGGGTCTCTTGTGCTCTGAGGAAGCATTATCCCTATTCAGAAGAGACAGTGTTCCAGTCTCTTGTGGCCAGAGATTGTGTAATGAGATCTTCACATTACTGTAGCGTAGCTCAACTCAGCCGTATATGGCTTATAACAATTAAGCTAGTTCTTGGAACGATAAAAGGGGATTCAGTGGAGTATGTTCAGGATCTCAGGGGTCTGACTCCAGAAGCACCAAGAATGGCCCCTATCTGGCTGAAGCTCAATTGGTTGGGTAGACTAATGGAACCACAAATGAAATGTGTTCTGCTCTTCTTTCTTACCTCCCTATTTGGGACGCAATTCTGGGAAAACATGAAATTATGAACACATCTTTTGTATCCCAAAACTTTTAAAAATGGTATGGAAAAGTAACAGAAGGGGTTTGCTAATTAACTACTGCTTATGTGTAAATTTTTCCTTGTTTATCTCTTAATCCTCCTGTGAAACTACTTAATATTATATTATTTTGGGCAGCATGAAACAGAAGACTGAATTTGCCCCCAAATCAGAACTGTCTGTATTGAAGGAGTGTTTCAACATTTAACTACATCAACAAATACATACACAACCACAACAAGAAATATTTAGATTAAATTTTTCCTGTTTGGCTGTTCCTTTCTTAAAAATTAGAAGCTAATGTGAATACGCAGCTCATGATTCCCTAACCTGAGTGACTTGCAAGTCTGAATAGGGTAACTAGAATGGATGGTTCCCAGAGGGGGTGTGTTGTGAAATCACTGGCTCTTCTCAATTCTGTTTCTTTAAGATGAAGACTATGAAATGGCTGTTAAGAAACTTAATGGAAAGCTATATCCTGATGATCCCAAAGAGCATAAAACATCAAAAGATCCTGTGCAAGGTAAATAAAAACTTTAAAACAGAATTTTCAGCTACACCCTCTGATTTGAAAGTATAACTCTAAACTGCTGCTTAACTTAAAACTTCTTAACACTGCTTTTTCATGACTAAATATTTAGAGTAATCAAATCTTAAAATCTGTCATACCTTGTATTCCATCAGTGCTGCGCCTTTGTGGAGGGTGATAGATATATATACAACATGCACTTCACATCCAAAAATAATTTAAGATACGAAGTCTAGGAGAGCAACCTAAAATCGGGGACAAGTTCTAGCAGTTTCTTTAATTATCCTGGTATTGAACTTTTTATGCACATTATGGTATGTAATTGATATGTATATGTATATTTAGGCAAACTTGTACACAGGAATAGCTCATTGTCAGGATCTACATTGTATTTACTAAATTGATGGCAGGATGGAATATGCTGACATACTCAAAATTCCATAATGATTTCTCTGGAATGTAATAAAAATGAACATGAAGCCCTAGAGGCTTTAGAACTAAACACTGTAAAGCAGGTGGAGCATTCTTTCCTCCAGGTTGTCTTAACCATACTATCAGAAACCAGCAGAAGTTTCTTCCTGTAAATCTCAGTAACTTATCTGAATAGATTTTAAACTTTGCAATCTCAGCACTAGTATTTTCATCCTTAGGGTTATAAAGTAAGGAAGGTGAGCTAAGTAAATTCTCCCTAGTCTTCCAGTGACTGTCCACATTTATTCCATTCTTAGTGTGGCCAGCAGTGTGTATTTGGGCTGCACCTGTGCCCTAGGTGTCTTCTTTCCCTATCCCAGCTCCACCTGAGGACATAAAGGTTGAAGCAGGCCCAACTCACTGTCTGTTCTTTAACATCTGTGGCAGTGGGATGGAACCCCTGCAGGGGCAACCTTTTCTGCATGCTGTGCTAGTGTTACCTAATTAGTTGGTTTTGGGTTCATTAGTATCTGTCCACTGGCAGAAAAGCCCCCCAAAATAATTTTCACTTAAGTTTGTTACAATAGACACCTCTTCCTCCCCTATACAGGGGCCTAGCACCATGGCAGAAGCTAAATTTGAAATTCAAGACCCGTTCTTCTTGTGAAGGTGTGACACCTGTTGAGGATGGCCACTTCTGATGTCTACTCAGACTAGGAGAAGGACATATTCCTGAGTTGTCGCTCATTCTCCAGGTGCACTCAGAAAGCTAGAGAAGACCATCTGAAGCTCTTCCTCCTTGAGAATTCAATGCAAGCTTTCTTGGACACAGAGAGGACAATATAACAGAGGGCACTAGACCCACAGTCATCTAGTCCAGAGTTTCTCAACCTGTGGGTCATGACCCAAAATTGGGTTGCCAGAATACGTCGAAGGGCCACGATGCTGGCTGGGCTCAGCTCACCATTCTAGGTGCTGCAACAATGCACTGAGTCATAGTGCTGCTCAAGTTTGACCCAGCCACCCTTCCACCATAACAATGGAGGGCCGGCTGGGCAAAATTTAAGTGAGTGACGCAGTAACCCCATGCATCACGTTGCAATAACAACCCTCACAAATTTGGTCTGCTGAGCTGCAACCATCACCAAGTATTGCGCCCTCGGTGGGAGGCAAGCCCAGCCTCCCCCGCAGGACAGGAGCCAGGAGGATGTAGTGGGTTGGTGTCATGTTCTCTAAGTACCCCGCTCCCTGACATCAATCCTACAACCAGGTACTCCCCATCATACCATTCATCCTGGTTCCCAGATGTTTTCCCACTGTACCTCTAGGCCATTCTGTCCCCCAGACTCCTCATTTTGCCCCCGGGATTCCAAATCCCATTTACCCTCTGCCCCCAAAGGGTTGTAGTATTTTGGGATCTATTGGTTTGCTATCTCTCCCCCAGCCTCCCCCCTAAATCCCCATCTCCTTCCTCACTAAACCCCCTGGTTCCCTAATCTCCCCACCTCGTCTCCAGGCCCACAATCCCCTCCAAACTTTACTTTCTGTCTCATGGCATAGCTGTGTATTTTTGGAGGATGTCTCAGCTCACTTCCCCTCCCCCAGCTGCTGGTGCGGAGGGGTTCCCCACCTGTCCATATCTGGCTGGAGCATCTGGAATCTTAGCTCCAAGCATCCTGCACGTCCTCCCACTCCCCGATTGACCCCTGTGGGTCTTGACAGGCCATCAAGGTTTACAGATGGGTCCTGAGCCTTAAAAGGTTGAGAACTATCCATCTAGTCTGTCCCTCTCGATTTCCAGTGAGCCAAGATTCCACCCCTAGCTCTTTGGCCTCATCTAAGAGGCTTTCGGCATTGACATCACTGATGAGCAGAAAGGAGTGCTGCTCCAGCGAGGAACAAGGCACAGGTTACCTTCTCTGATGCCTAGTAAGCTAATACACAAGAGCCACCAAACTTTTGACATTTTGAACTCAACTTCCTACAGGCCAAAAACCTGACAAGCCCTCTTCATGTGCCTCCATAACAATTTCCAGGAGAGCCGTTTTTATCCACTAAGTCTGTGGACTGCATTTCTCTCAGCACCAGGTATCTCAGTACCCAATGCCTCAGTTCCTGAAGACTTGTTCCTACCACTTCTGATAGGCACCTCAGAATGATTTTCCTCAGTACCAGCTAAGTTAATACCCAAAGCAATCACTGTACTACCAAGTGATTGATCTGTGGGCCTGGTACCAAGTTGCCTCTCCTTGAGGATGGTGATATCGAAGCACATCTCCAGAGTTACCAGTACATCAGATTAAAGAGGTATCCCCAGTACCCACCTCTTCCACCCCCCCCCAAGGCAGGGCACTCTGGATAGAATGAGCCCTCCATTAGAGGAAGTGTATTCCTTTTTGTCATGATGTAGACACAACAGCAACTCCTCACACACACTTCCACCTTCTCCTTGGATAGGGATTCTAGACAAAACACCATGAGAGGTAACAGGAAGGTACTTGGGACTCACATGGAATACCCCTCCTGGAACTTTCCCCCTCATCGCCATGTGTCCCCCATCTCAATACTACTATCTCTTCCAGCCATGACCCTACTGGACACCCCGGGCTGTGCAGCTATACTTTAGAAGGCCTACATCCTCCACTGCCTCCAGGGCTAAATCCCCTTACCCAAAGAGAGACTGTAGGGCAGGGGTTCTCAAACTGGGGATCGGGACCCCTCAGCGGGTCACGAGGTTATTACCTGGGAGGTCAGGAGCTGTCAGCCTCCACCCCAAACTCTGCTTTGCATCCAGCATTTATAACGGTGTTAAATATATTAAAAAGTGTTTTTAATTTATAAGCAGGGATCGCACTCAAAATGCTTGCTATTTGAAAGGGGTCACCAGTACAAAAGTTTGAGAACCACTGCTGTAGGGCATCTTAGCAAAGCCAGATAGTGCAGACTCAGTTACAGGAGAGGCAAAAGGAGAAAGGTGAGGGAGAGTATCAGCTATCTGCAGAAGAACTGGTCCCTGGTGTGATGATCTCATCCTCCCTTGATGAGGCAGTGAATCCCCTTTGCCTGTCTTGGTAGATGACTTCAAAGTGTTCTAAGATATCATTAGGTCTATGGCAAAGAAGATCCAGGACATACCACATAAAGCAGTAAAAGGAGAAACCACACCACAAACTCCTGGACATCTTGCACCCTTCCACACCCTGCAGGTCCCCCATGCACTAAATAATGGACTAATGGATCTTACAAAGGACCTGAGGCACACACTAGCATCCATCTCAGCTACATCAGAACAAGCTGACAGGACATACCATGTCCCTTCCCATCTCAAGGTTTTCATCTCTCCACTGAATTTTTACAACCGAACTTTGAGGGATTCAGTCAGAATAGAGAAATCATAGCCTTGAGGTTATTAGCTTTGGTTCCAAAGTTATGAATAGACTTCATCTGTAGGCACAAATAAGTGTGTAAATTAATGATCTAAAAGTTAGTGGTACCAAAAGTAAGGGCAAGAAATGTCATTTTTTTTAGAAAACTTTAGCATCCAATTGGCGCACGTCTTGTTTGGATTTATTTTGCCCTGCCTACTACTTGGTTCTGGCAGTATAATTGGAAACTTGTTTTTAAAACCCATTATAACATCTAGGTATATGGGTTTTTCTTGCGGTAGGAGGTGGAAGGGGTTTGGGCATTAGGAAGAGAAGGTATATCAGACAAGCCTTTTTGTGAAGGTTCTTCCTGAGCCAAACTACTCAAATTGGCCGCTGGCAAAGTAATTGCAAATTTACCACCTTTTAGTTTCCAATTAAATGAAAAGCTTTTACCACCAATGGAGGGCTCTAAAATCAGTGGAGTATTATTTCCATTTGGATCAAGTTAGTAGAGTTAAATAAAGCAAGAAAATCTAACGTGTAATTTGTAAAAGTTAGCATAGAAGTTAAATTATTTATCCAAACCTCCTTCTTGGGTTACTTAAAGTAGGAATTGACTGATTACTCATACTCTGTGTCCTAGAACCTTTGCTTCAGAACTCTGCTCTGTTTGCTACATTTCAGTAACTTCTGATGTGCTGTCTCTCTAGATATCATGGGAGAAATTGAACCAGAGAATGAGAGTGAGTGTGTTATTGTTTGGGAAAAGAAACCAACTCCTGAAGAAAAGGCTAAAGCAGAGACTCTAAAGCTTCCTTCTACATTTTTCTGTGGTGTTGGCAGTGATACTGATGAGGACAATGACAATCTGGAAGACTTTCAGACAGAACTTAAAAAAGTTCAAGAAGCCAAAGTAGGAACTAAAACTCAAAGCATGACTTTTCTAATTCATTTTGGTGGCACTAACTCTTAACACTGAAACAGCATCATGAATACCCTGTACATTTATTGAAGTAATTTTAGCTTTTTTTAAATCAAATGTCTGGTGTATGCCAAGAAGTAAGAGCAAAAGTTTCCCCTGTATTGGAATAATATCAGTAGGGTGCCAATGGAATCTGTCATAGAGCCATCTGAAACCTTGACCATTTATGAAACATTTCCTTTTGATTTCAGTCCCAGTGTGTTAGTATCCTCCGATTTCCCTTGAGATATTTTTTTTAAGCAAATAGCAAATCTAATCTCAGACAAAATGTTTGAAGCTGTTTGTAGAGACCATTTTTTAAAAGCTTAAATTGCAGAATAAAAATATTTATTTGTGAACAATGAGATGTGTTTAATATATATCTGGGATTTCTAAGCACTCTAGCACTTCATATTTTCAAAGTCCTTTAAAATCACTAATCCTCAAACTCCCTGTAAACTTAGTGTGGTTGACATTTTATAGAACTGAGGATTTCACAGAAAGAACTGTTTGATTTGTCCCTGGCTATGAAGCAAGTCTCTGGCAAACCTGGAACTAAAACTTGGACCTTGCATCTCCTAGCCTTATGTTCCGTCTTCTGTGCAGACTACTCTTTTTTTCCCCATTCTCCGTCCCCAATAAGGTCAAATCCTAAGCACTTCATACCTTTTGAGTGTGCAAGAACTAATTTCAAAGATTCAGAAAAAGTAAATGATCTAACAGTATTATTTTTAAGAAGAATGTGAACATAAGGACACTTTGCCAAGTTAATCAGTAGTGTTAAATGATTTAAGTGTTAAGTTCATTACATTAACAAAAAATTCCTTCTGAAATCTTTAGAAGTCTGTAACCTGTTAGCCTGCTTGTTCAAGCACCTTGGCTGTTAATTTTTATTAATATTGATACTTGGCATATTTGTTACAGTGCCAAAGGAAGGGCCCTGGATCCCAAAAACTTTTCCACTTGGGGAAAAAAAAAAAAATTTTGTAAGCAACAGAGATGTTGGGTTGCAATCTGTGTTCCTTGCCCCTCTTCCTTCTAATTCCATGAGCATTTATGGCCTTATTTCTTTTCCCAAAGATGTTGATTACCCACAAACCCCATTGAAGTCAGTAGGAGCTAAAGGTTCTTTAGCTTTGAAAATCAGTGTGCTAGCTTTTATATAGTTTTCCAACACTCCCACCTTTCTGCAGTGTTGCTGTTCGGGGGTGGAGGCGGGGAGAATTCATTATCTAATGCTGCTGTTCTGGCAGCTTTCGGAAGAATTTAAGCAGGTGTTTTCTAAATGTTCTGAGTACTTGGCTCTTTTAAAGCATTTATTGGAAACAGATATTTTCTTCTTAGGAGTTTCTGGGAAATGACGTTACCAGTTCAACTGATTTAGCCTGTACCAGTGAGGCTGAAGTATCTGTTCCATTAACCAGTGAGGCTGAAGTATCTGTTCCATCAACTACTAAATGTGAAGAACCAGACTCAACCACGCAATCCCCCCTCACATCACAGACTTTGTCAGGGACCGATGACAAACCTGTTGATTTGTCAACTAAAAAAGAAAATGATCCAAATTTAACAAAGTCCACAAACCAAGGTAATGTACTTTTGGGGCTTAAAGTCACATTTCTCTGTAGAAGTGTGTGTAACCAAGATTGATTTAGAGTGGTACTATTCTGCTGAGCTACTTGTAATCATTGGAATAAATGAAAATTGAACATGTGCATCAAAGATGATTCTACTATTATGAGACCACACTACTGCATGCTGCTATTAAATATTGATTCATTGTCCATTGTGTACAAATTAGGGGGTGTGGCAAAGTTAGTAGTAATTAAGGCTCTGCAGTTTTGCAAAGAAAGGGTGGTAATTTGTCAAGTAAATTGTTCTATGGGGGGGCCCAAAAGAACCAATATATTTTTCTTTTATTTGGATAAATGTTTAGGGAGCCACTAATCACTTTGGAGTGTCCCTATACATTGGCATTCATGTGAAAAAGAGGAGGCGATATAAATTTGTTGTAATCCCTGGATTTATAGCTGTATTAGCCACTTTCTGGATCTTGGTGTTATGTACAGTTATAAAGTTATGCGTATGCAGTGGGGAAAGTCATCCTTGCCATGCTCCTTTCTCTTACACCTTTCTCTCTCATTGTGATAGGAAGCAGAACAATCGCATTTGGATTTGACACTACTTCCGGCTTGTCATTTGCAGATCTGGCTTCAAATTCTGGGGATTTTGCTTTTGGTTCTAAAGGTCAGATACAAACTTTGTTGATAAACTCACGTTGGAATTACTTTTGATGTAACTTTATGCCAAGTTTTTATGTGCATTGAATCTCTACTAGTTCATAAGGTACTAAATTGTAAGTGACAGAATACATGTAAACTAAATGTCTTTTTCTAGAAATGGTATAGTTTATGAAAATTAAGAAACTTTGTGTATAATACACGAGTGTGTGTATATTGGAGCATCTGGAAAGATGTCTGAAACTTTAAACTCTTTTCATAACTAGATAAAAACTTCAAATGGGAAAATACAGGAGCAGCTGTATTTGGAGTACAGCCAGCCAGTAAAGGAGATGAAGATGAAGATGGTAGCGATGAAGAAGTTGTACATAGTGATGATATCCACTTCGAACCTATAGTGTCCTTACCAGAGGTAAGATGGTTTTTGGTCATAGTTTAGAGACTCTGTTAAACAAGCATGTCCATGAAACTAACACATTGGATTAGTAAAACTGAAAGTATTCTATAACTCTAAATTATCCCCACTTTAGCAGGCTTTGCATTTCATTCAACTTGGATGCCAAAATCTGCTGTTTCTAAAAAAAAATAATAATTTTTGCTTTCCTGAGGCCCCGGATGGACAAAAAATCAGTTCTCCACCAGAGTTAAAAATAAGCTATGCGGTATTAGATACTATCAGGACTAAACATTTTTAGGGAGTCTCCCTGGTTTCCAATAGGATGGAACACCATGATTCTAATAACCCTGTTAAAATTGCAACATTGTATGGAAAAGCGACCTTAGGCATATATTTTTAAAGCTTCTGAAATTACTTTAACTACTTTGAAGCCTGTACAGCTTGACTTATACAAGGGAGCCTGAGTTTGTGTGCAAAAATGCACAATACTACCAGTAACACTTCTAAGAGCTCAGGTGGTTAAAGATTATTCTGTGAAATATGTGGTGTATTCAAAATAAATGATTGGAATACACTTGTTAGAGCGCTGCTTTGACCTGTAGAACTCACTTACGGCTTTACCACTTATTAGTGATGCGGCCATCCCAAACTCTTGCTAATAATAAAACTGTTATACCACACCATATATTCTGGGCTCTCCCCTCCAAACCTGGGTGAAAACTTGCCAGGACCACTGAGTAATAATGTGGGGAGGGATAGCACAGTGGTTTGAGCATTTGCCTGCTAAACCTAGGGTCATGAGTTCAATCCTTGAGGGGGCCATTTAGGGATCTGGGGCAAAAATTGGGGATTGGTCCTGCTTTGAGCAGGGGGTTGGACTAGATACCTCCTGAGGTCCCTTCCAACCCTGATATTCTATGGTAAGGAATTAAGAGCACAATCAGAGCTAAATTAATCTGAAGATAAACAGCAAAGTAGGCAAAAGAAAGATTTCAAGAGCTGGTAGGAAGTGGTAGGCCTACAGCGGAAGGTGGGTAGAACAGTGGAGGAAGCTTTATGTAACTCAGTTATTCAGATTATCCTAACACCAATTTCTTAATAAACAGTGAATGCAGTCTGGTAACTGGTGATGTTTAAACCATATTAGAAATGTTAATGAGGTGTCTTTTTGGGTTCTATTTAAAATCTTTTCTAAAGACAAACTTGATTTTGCTTTAATTATAAATGTGGTGTAACAGTGTCAATGGTAACATTTCTCTAAAATCCTGCACAGCTCACTCATCTTTCCCCTTGTCTCCTTTTAATCTCCCTTGCCCTTTCCACTCCCCCTTCCTTTTTTTTTCAATATGTCCTTCCACAAACAACCTTTCCTCCATTCACCGGCTCATTTGTTTGTAATGCCTGATCTTCTCAAGCTTTCATTTGCTCCAAAAGAGAACTCTAACAACTGTAGTTTTAACTTTTGTAAAGAGACCAAAAACTGGAAAAATGCACAGCCAAACAAAGCAAATACATATCCTTCATGCACATATCTAATCCTGCACCTTCTACTTGTTTATGTGGTCTAGTTGTAGAAAGCAAGTTCTTTGAGAACATTCCCTTGTCTGCAGAGAGTATAGCACACTACTAAAAGTAACACACAGCGCTATGTAATGCTGTGTAAAAAAATAATGCAAACTCCTCCAGCACACTTGTATCCCAGCAAAGCTTATACATTTGGCTGGGACCTCTGCCAAAGGATTCAGGTGTACAAACCTGTAGAAAAGAACTTCTGTGCCAGAAACTATGCCCCAGAACATGTCAAGGACTCTTAGAGCAAATTTAAATTTTCTAGGCCAAGCAGTATTTGAGAGATGACTTTATAAAAAGTCAGCTTTCTAAACTGTGAAATAAACCTAACTTTTCAACACCCTATCTGAAACAGCTTGTTCATCTCACCACAAAGTCCGGAATATATCTCTTCTGGCTACAGACCTGCCTATGCAGAACTTCAAATAGAAAGTATGTTTTGGAGGAAGTTTTTTAAAAGGGGGGAGAAGGGTGTAAAATCAGGATAATAAAAAGCTATTACCCATTCTCTCTGATGCATGAGTAGATTCCTGGTGACCGTGACTGTCTAGGAACTGCATGAATATGCTGTTTTTGCTGTTTTCTAGGTGGAGGTGAAATCTGGAGAAGAGGATGAAGAAATTCTCTTCAAAGAGAGGGCAAAACTCTATCGATGGGACAGAGAAGTCAATCAGTGGAAAGAGCGAGGAGTTGGAGAGATAAAAATTCTATTCCATACACAGAAGAAATATTACAGAATTTTAATGAGAAGGGACCAAGTTCTCAAAGTGTGTGCAAATCATGTAATCACAAAAATAATGAATTTAAAGCCCCTGAATACATCAAACAATGCTTTAGTATGGACTGCCACAGATTATGCTGGTGAGTTTGAGAAGATTGCTTGAAAACGCCTAAACTTTTTTCTTCATGTATATGACAAATAAAACTCTAACTGATGTTCAATCGGCTATGATAATCTGTTTGGGAATTTAATTTCAGATGGCGAAGCAAAAGTAGAACAACTTGCAGTTCGATTTAAAAGCCAAGAAATGGCTGATTCCTTCAAGAGGAGATTTGAAGAATGCCAACAAAATTTGTCAGAACTTCAGAGAGCACATGTATCCCTGGCAGCAGAACTGTCAAAGGAAACCAACCCTGTAGTGTATTTTGAGGTTTCTGCTGATGATGAACCTTTAGGACACATAACCATGGAACTATTTTCAAATATTGTTCCTCGAACTGCTGAAAATTTCAGGGCCCTATGCACAGGGGAAAGAGGATTTGGATTCAAGAACTCTATATTTCACAGAATAGTTCCTGACTTTGTGTGTCAGGTAAGTACAAGTTGAAGATTTTTTTTCTTAGAATAAAACCTATTTTCATTTCTTAGAGCTAAGACCATTTGTTATGTGGAATGAGGAGTTTACCAAAGATTTTGATTCACTGGACAGGCTTTTACTCCCTAGTTTGAGTGTACTACTTGTCTGAAAAGTGGTTTTATTTTAAAAAGTTGTAGGATTCCTCTTTCTGTAGCTCAATGATTTCCATATCAAATTTGCTCATTTACAAGTAGTTTTTTTCTAAATACTAGGTCTTCAAATATAACCTGCATCTAAAAGTCAGGCTCTGCTCTTTCTGACTCAGTGTGTCACCAGTAATAAAGATTCTCCAGGCCAGGTGCATCAAGGCAGTTGCCACGTGCCATGGATAATTTCACTTTTCTCAGACTGATTTGCACACTTTTCTCATCTGTGCAGACTAGATGCACCAACTTCTGCAGACTCAATCTTTGGCAAACAGTGACAGTATACTAATGAGTACTGTTTTTTATCTGGGTGCCCAGCCCATGTGGTGGTTGGTATTAGTACAGCTATTTCAGTTCTCAGACGGAGAACCTAAACTGGTGGGGAAAGAGGCTACCTTTGTATGCACCTTATAGTCAAAGAATTCAAGTTGTCATCCGATCCTAATGCATTGGAGTATGGCGCTCCCATTTCCCAATTTAATAAGCATACTTGAAAGTCTCCATATACTTGGCTTTAATGTGTACTTGTTAATTCCATTCTTTACACTGATTTTTATTTGAATTTGTTTCACTTTGAATTTACTTCTGTATGTGGTGATCTCAACTGGTATGCTCCATAATGTTAGTAATGACCCGTTTGCTTGTTAATACCCGCACGCTGTCCCTAGTATAGCTGTGGACTATTAATATTTTAATATTTTCATTTGTCTTTGCTTGTTAAGAACATATGACCAACATATAGAGGGTTTGTCTACATAGACATCCAGGAAAATTAATCCAAATTGACTAAAGTTTTGAATTTGAAGTGGATTAGTTAAATCGTATTAAACCCTAGCATGAACACCCTCATTCAGAATTGAAGTAGCCTTTAATTTGTCTTTAAACTAAGTCCTCTTGAATTTCAAAAGCAATGTCCACACAGGGATTTAATGGGGTTAATTAACTTCAAATTCACACCTCTAGTTAATTGGGATTAATTTTCCTGGATGTCCCTGTGACAAGCCCAAAGAACTTCTTACTTGCCCAATTTTGTACAGTGACCTCAAATTTGAGTAGATTCAACTAGAAAACAAAAAGGACACCAGTAATTCTCAGAGTAGAGGACTCTGTACCTTTCACAGTTAGGCCATAAATTAGCACATATGAAATCTTTATCCTTGCCATGAGCGCTTAATATTATCAGTTTTCTGTTTGCTTGTTATGATGATCACATGTACGGCTAAAACTAAAAATGAGAGACCATTCTGTCGTCTTTTGTCAATATCCAGACATCTGAGCTCTTAATATTTTTCTAATTCAGTTATTCTTAGAGGAAAACATAAAGCAAGTTTTTTACTTGGTAGATATTTGTGGGCTAGTAATGAGTTAATTCTATAAATGATTAATATTTTCAGGGAGGAGATATCACTAGGCAGGATGGAACAGGTGGACGGTCCATTTATGGAGATGCATTTGAAGACGAGAACTTTGAAGTGAAACACACTGGTCCTGGATTACTGTCGATGGCAAATCGTGGCCGGGACACCAATAATTCTCAGTTTTTTATCACACTTAAAAAAGCAGAACACTTGGACTTTAAACATGTGGTATTTGGGTTTGTGAAGGATGGCATGGATGTTGTGAAAAAAATTGAATCTTTTGCTTCTCCCAAAGGGTTAGTGAACAGAATTGTTATCACAGACTGTGGGCAAATATAATGTCTAAGTAGTGATTCTACAGATATGTGCACTAACAGCATAAATCAAAGTTGGGCTGTTGTAGACTAATTATGTTCAGCTTTTTTAATATTGACATTTCTGATGTATAAATGTAAAATTACAACTTATAGAGTACTTTTTTTAATGAGTTAATTGACTTTGCATGTTGTGAAATAAAAGTTCAAACACTGGCATATGTTATCCTGATATTTGTTTTAAATGTGAAAAATTTAAAATTAAATTCTAGTCTTGTTAAAGCAATTCTTTTCTTCACTTTGGTTTGTACAAGGAATACCACATGCATAATCTATTTTCAGTTATTTTGATTTGCTACTCTGATGTATTAGGATTTTGAATGCAGAATTAGCCATCATGCTTCCAAACTAAAGTAGTTCTATGTGAGAACTATTTCTTCTTATTCCCACTGATGCACAGAAAAATAAAAAGCAGAGTGGCAATTCATTCTCCTTACCCTTCTTAAAAGCATCCAGCTTCAAATATAAGTTACCATCTCTTTCTCTAGGCGGAAGTTATCTTTCCTAAGTTGAAGAAAACGTGTGTTCTACCTGGTGGTTTGTCTGTGAAACAGCATTTGGGTACCTGTACCTTGAAGTTACTGAACTATTGCCTGTACATTATCTTAAGTTCCTGTCAAAATCTGACTGAGAACTTGTGATCTTCCTGTGGTATAAATTAATATGCTTTGAGACCAGCTGCTTGTATCACTGCTTTGTATATGGGAGACTGATTGCAAAAATACTTGTAAGGGCAATTTGAGTAAATAAAGAACTTGTAAAGCTTATCGGGTGGGGGAAAAATCTGGTAAAAACTCTGGATCTTAAAGGAAAAATAACTATACTGTATTTTTGCATCTGATGTTACTGAGTGACCTTTTTGGTCCAAATACTATTTAAAGTTTTTCGTTGCTTTTTATGATATCCTGTTTTTTCAGCTGTGGTAAATGTCTGCTAAATTCAGAACTCAGAACTGAGTAACTACATGTATACCAAGGAAAAGATTTTTCACCATATTAAATAGAATTCTGTGAATTTAAAGCATGTCTTATAAATAGCAATATTATGTTGAGATCCAACTTAAGCTTAACAGTATTTTGAATGGTAAGGTGAGAGAGGCAATCTTTCACTGGACCAACTTCTGTTGGTGAGAGAGACGAGCTTGAAAGCTTGTCTCGCACCAACAGAAGTTGGTCTAAGAAAAGGTATTAACTCATCTACCTTCTCTCTCTGATATCCTGGGACCAGCATAATTACAACACTGCAGATATCATTTTCCGTGATCAGTGGTCGGCACACAATTCAAAGCCAGGATATCTAAGGGTCACCCTAGATCAGGGTTTCTCAATATGTGGAATGGGACTGAAAATTGGGTCGCCAGAACTTTTCAAAGGATCACATGGCAGCTCCTGTTGCTTCTGTCCCATAGGGCTGACTGGGCTTGCCTCCCTGGTCCAGGATCCCAGAACCACTCAGGTTTGGCCCAGCCTTCACGATGACAGGAGTCTGTGTAGGCCAAATTTGTGCAAGTGGCACTGCAACCCCATGAACCAGGTCACAACTTCACTCTCACAAATTTGTTCCAGTTGCGGGGGGGCCAAACTAGAGCAGTGCTGGAACATAGGAGGTTGCAATGCCCAGAGCTGACAGCTAAGCCCAGCCAGCCCCACAGCACAGGACCTGGCACTGCGGGGTGAGTGCCAGGCCAGACCTGACCAAAACTATCCCAGTATCTCCAGACTATACTGGTTCATGAGAGGTCATAAACATTTACAAATGGGTCCTGAGCCCATAAAGGTTGAGAACTACTGATCTAGAAGAACCATACAAATACCATTTCACTACAGTAGCTCAAAAGAGAGAGCAGAAACACTCGTCTGAACAAACTGGTAGGGTCTGTTAGAGAGCTTATTCCTTCACTCTCCCACTTCCCTGGTTCTTCTCGCATGAACAGAGAGCAACAATACCCGAAGTCCGAAGGTGCAAACAATTCGATGTTTATTGGGGTGAACTTCCAGCAAGCTAAATACAAGTTCCTTTTTCCTTATTTTCGAATCCCAACTTACTTCCTGTTTGTCCCTAATTTATATAGTAATATTCTTAGCTATACCTTAACCAATCATTCTACTAAAATTTAACTAACCAATCCTAACATATTGTAACATGATCAGCTAACCAATTATATCCCACCACCTTAATTAGATTACACCCAGCAAAATTAATTATACAGCAGACAGAAACAATCACAGAACCAGACAGAGATTATACAGACAAACAATAACAAAGTGGGAACTATAATGACAAAACAATACAGGAGTGAGGATTTCACATCCCAGTATTGATAAGTGAGTTCTTGCCAGACAGGATGCTGTTTCCTTTTACATTCTTAGGCCCTCCCTTTCTCTGGAGGTGATAGGCATTATCAGGACAGGATTGTATTCAGGACAGGACTGTATTCCTAACAGCCCAATAGCACCTTCTTTCAATGTGACTAGTTTGGAATGTGAGGATGTGACCTGTCGCTTCCCAGCTTATGGCTGCCTCTGCTGCTTAGCCAAAGGCCTTAGCCTAAGCACAGGGCCTCAGACTGTCACAGTAAGAAAAGGCCCTTACACTGGCAGACAGTGATTTTGATTCTTTCTTTTATACCTCTAACTAGCCAAGTGATAAGAATACACCTAAATTCTTAAAGTATAGGCCTTTATAGACAGGCCTGAATATCTATATCCTAACAGGGTCCACATCGAGAACCAGTGTGCAAACAGGGCGTTGTTCAGGGCTCCTTCTCTGCTGCTCAGTTGGAACACAGTGCCCCAGTTTGATTAAACTCTGCCCACTCTGGACTACTGGACATATGCTTACACCAAGAGAAGTATTACAAGTACCCTGCAACCAACAAAACTTGTTTAGTTATCAGCCCTAGCCAATCTTCCTCAACCAACCATCTGGCATCAGAATGCAGCCAATAAACTGCAATCAAAAACTGGCAGATGGACCAGGCTTACTGACTCGGGCTCATGGTGCATAAGCTGTGGGGCTGTTTAATTGCAGTGTAGACATTGACTCCTGCTGGAGCCAAGCTCTAGGACCTGCAAGGTAGGAGGATCTCAGCTGTGACTGCAGCCCAAGCCCAAATGTCTACACAGCAATAAACTGCCCAATGAGCCCGACTCAGTTGGTACAGGCCAGCTGCAGGTTTTTAATTTCTATGTAGACATCTCCTAGCTGACTAAAGGCCATTTTCCTAAACCTTTCATTCCTTGTCTTACCCCCATGCAATTGCTCCTTCTGTATATAATTAATATTTTAATCATGAAACTTGCTGTGAACTAAGTAGATAATAAATATCTGAAAAGCAAATTTTGTCACTATTGCAAAGCCTTTTTAGTTCTAAAATGTCAGTTTGGTAAAATCACCACTTTTACCATACAAATCAAGTTGTGGTGCTGTTGCACAAATGTTTGATGTCTCAATCTTGCTTTGTGGTGGTTAAAAGTAAACTAAGAAGGGTATGGCTTCCATGGTATTGTCACTTAAAACTTGAGAGCTTAAATAAAGTGGTCTGGCCAAACATTCAAAGTATACACATTTATGAAATAACTATATGAGCAACAGGAGTCATGAGCATGGGTTATAACTTATCAGTAGATTTAGTTTTATATAAAATAGTATGAGGAAACTGCTGAAACTACACATCTTGCCTTGGATTTCAATTTACAAAAATTAATAAAATCTGATCAGGAGGTGGTGGCTTTTTCTGGTTAATGGAATAAAAACAAAGCTATACTCTAATTGGCTGTACGTATGCCACTCACTTCAGCTTTGCAGAGTACCAAACCAATCTGCTGAAGATCTGTTATAGTATGTCTCTGCAGGCAAAAAAAAAAAAAAAAAAAAATCCCGTTTGTACTAGTCAAGGAAACTATGCTGTAACCCTACTGCCAGCAACCATCTTTTAAACACAATTTTTGCTAGCATATTTCTGATCTCAGTGGGGCTAGCCCTGTAAAAGAATTTAGCTAACGCTATGTTCCTTCAACCCCTGATTTGTATTGTCCTTTTTTGCTTATCTTTGGTTTAGTTAGAGTGGAGCAGACTGGAACTGAAAAACGTATCAATGGCACTCTAACCATCCATAAACCTTTTTGCGCTCAGTTTGGCTGGAGAATGTCCTAATTTGCATTTATTCAGTTAGTCTTTCTCAAACTCAGTTAAAGTTTAGTTTTCTGCAAGCTTTAGCCTGATCCTGCATTCTACATGGTGGTTGCAGTCAAGCATGACAAGTGGGGCATGGTAACAAGCAATTCAGGAATCTACTACAAGCCATCTATTTGAAGACTTCTGTATGTTTTGAGGAATTCCTTATTAACAGGCTCAAAGCTGAACAACTGGCCACTATGCCCAGCTTTGAAGCATTAAGCCTGGTAATGCAAGGACAATGAGAAGGTTATGTATATTATGTATATCTTCAAGGTCAGCATTGGCTTGATATAAGTAGCATTCTTTATTTAAACAAGTTATTACTCTCATGTGATGAGACTTCCAAAGTGCAATGTAACTTTTTTTCATTAGTCTCTCACCACTGAAAAGCTGTCAGAACAGTTTGGAGAGGTGCAAGAACAGCAGGGACTCCCTATTGATTGTTTAAACTTAAATTCTACAGAACCTGCAACATTCCTCCATAATATGATGTACATATGGACTCTGGCCATAGATAAAAATCTGAAGCATACGATACAGAAATGAGAATGAAGATGAGCATGTGTGAACAAAACTAACCCCCCAGTACAGTACTTGCAACTACTGCATACACTCAGAGCTGAAAATGATCAACCCCAGTTTGCATGTTTGAGGCACCAGGAATGCTGGAGCATGAAACTGAGGTAGCAACTAGAGCGAGGCAGGGAACCATTTTCCTCTCTCATGCACATTTTCGTGATCAGCATCAGGATGAACTGTGAACCTTCTGATGTCATTTGCAAAAAGCTCGAGACCCACCTCGGAATAGCTCGGTGGCCAGGACGCTCGCTTGAAAAGTGGGAGACCTACGTTCCAGTCCCTGCTCCAATTAAACTGGAACAGCTCCATCAGGAGAAATTGAGAAACCCATTCTAGAATAGCTAATAGTCTGGTAGTTAGGGCATTCACCTAGGATGTGGGCAAATGGCAGAGCAGGGACTTGAAGTTGGGTCTTTCACATCTGACTCCTGGGCTGTTCTAGAGGGTCTCTCTCTCTCATCTTGACAA